TTTTTATGATATCTTCAAATTCATATTTTATTCAAAAATAAAATCACTATTGCTTTTAAAAAACACATAATTTATACTATCTATACTATATTATAAAACATTTGAAAAAAACTCTTAAAAACAATTTTTTATACACGAAATATTGTTTATTAATGCATACCTATACTATATTATAAAACATTTGACAAAAACTTTTAAAAACCATTTTTTATGTATCAAGTATTGTTTATTAATGCATATTACTTAAAATATTAGATTACAAGTAAATTGTGCGTAAGTACAGCTTATTAAAGCTCGATGTTTGAATTCGTGTAACTAACTGCGGATAAACATAATCAAATAAAGGATAAACATCTCATTTTAAAATATAAAAAATCTAAAATATAATTAGGATAATTATCGAGTTCTAATAAAATAATTAATTATTATCCTTATAAGAAAATTATATTATTAAACCAAATATAAATTACTTCGTTATTGAACCAAAATTAAATTATAATAAAAAAAATTGAATTAAAAAATTACACAAAAATGTGGAATTTTAAATAGTTAATTTTGATACTAATATCAATATATTTTTGTCAAATTTTTATGATATCTTCAAATTTATATTTTATTCAAAAATAAAAACATCATTTTTTTTTTCAAAATCATACAAGACCATATTATAACATCAACTGAGATAAAAATAAAATAAAATATTAAAATCAAGATGTATCTCGCTGCATTGCGCGAGTACACTTTTAGTCTTTATATGAAGGACTTATGATTAATGAAAACCATAAATCCTTCATTGTTGTTCTTTTTCAATTATCTTATATCAGATAGCTTATTTTTATCAAACAATATCATTTAAAATAAAAAAGTTTATTGGGATTTTTTAGATTTTTCAATAAACGAAAAATAAATAAATAAAACAAAGAAGGAAAACAAGAAGCGAAACAATATCAACACCTGCCTTTCTCCATATTTTTCTTCATTCTCCCCCTCACATATCCATTCTTGTTTACATATCTTCCTCTTCTCTCTTGCTCATCGGATTTTGTTTTCCCCTGCACAAATTCATCGCAATCCGTTACCTTTTTGCCATTCAATTCGTTAATCTTTGCTCACTTCTCTCTCTACAATCAAATAAACAAAACGGTGAATCTACATGCATAGCTTCTCTTGATCAATGAGCGTCGATGGTGCTTTTCAATTTTACTGGCTGTTGAAGGATTGCGGTTTGTATTATTCTTAATTACGTTGCTCTTAAGAAGCGGCCGCCTTGTCGTTTTAAATTAGGGTTTGTTATGTTCTTGACTTTTATCAGGAATTTTTAATTTTTGTATAGAGTGTATGTCGATGCCCGGACCGGAATCGATTGTTAATTTGGATCGTTTTTGGTAGAAATTGAGGGTTGATTTGATGATTATCAAGTGGGGTTAAGTTTTTTACAAACCCTAGTCGAGGTGTAATTACGTACATATAGATCTGAGTACAGAGTAGCAGTTTATGTTAACGTCGAAGTTAATTGAAGCAAAAAACATGGATCATGTTGTTGGTGGAAAGTATAAGTTCGGGAGGAAGATTGGGAGTGGATCTTTTGGTGAGCTTTATTTAGGTACGTTTCTGACTCTTTCTTGTAAGCACCATTCTAGGGTTTGTATCCACGTTTTCAGTAGTAATATTTTTTTTCCTGATGATATGCAGGTGTTAATATTCAAAGTGGGGAAGAAGTTGCTATTAAGCTGGTATTGACATTCTTTCTGATCATGATTTCGATGCTATGATTGCTTGATGAATCCATTGACTGGTTGATTGACATATCATATCTTCCAAATAAAACTTTAGAGCATCTCCAATGGAGGTTTTTATAAGAACACAATTTTTGTACTTTTGCTTGACATGCCATCTCCACCTCATCAAATTAAGAACTTCATAAGACTCTACAATGGTAATTCATAAGACTTTACAATGGTGCTTCATAACCCATTTTTGTGGGTTCCATGTATTTTTCCACATCAATAATAATTATAAAGTCAATAAAATATATAAAAAACTAACAAAAATGTCACTTCACACCAATTTCAAGGTAAGAACCAAGGTTCTTGTACAAGAACTCAAAGGTGTGAGGATCTTATAAGAACTCTCCCCGATGGTGGTTCTTCTAAGAACCCACACTTTTTTGGAGATGCTTTAAGTACTACCATTGGAAAGAGTTCTCATAAGACACTCACATTTTTTGAATTCTTTTACAAGAATTTGGTTCTTATCTTGAATTTGGTGTGAAATGACATTTTGTTAGTTTTTTTATATACTTTTCTGATTTTTATATCCATATGCAAGAACTTTGGTTCTTATCTTGATTTTATTGATGTTGAAATAATACATGGGACCCACAAAAGGAGGGTCTCATAAGTCACTACCATTGTGGAGTTTTATGGTATTAATTTTTTGAGTTGATGATGGAAGTGACAAAAAAAGTACGAAGGTGAGGTTCTTATAAGTTACTCATTGGAGATGCTCTTATATCTACTATGTATGTTTTCTGTTTTTGTTAATTATATCTAATTCTTTTATGTGAAGTTACATTAATGTTTTATTAGTTCTTGCTTTTGTGTCTAGTAAAGGCTGTGTTGATTTGTAACCTTTCTTTTGTGTCATTCAAATAGTATTCTTAAAATGTTTGCAAATACTAAGAGCTGAAAGCAGAAGGATTCAATTGGTAGTATGTGGTTATGTATTCTTATCAAAGATCATTGTTTCTTTCTCTTAGATGTCTGACCAAACTTCCATTTGTAAAAGTATATATGAACTTTTATTTATTTTTTCGAACCCAAATTTTGATTTGAGGGTGTACTAGTTTGACCTTTTATCTTTTGAAGCCATAATTAAATTGAGGGATTCTTGTTTGGTTTTTGCATAAATGGTTGATTTGTAAACAGTTATTTGATTTTTTTATGTGGTGGAATAAAAAGAGAAATGCAAGACTTTTGTGGTGTCACTTAGGATCTTCAACCAGTGTTTTTATTATCAACATTATTGTACCACATACATTGTTCCTATTGGAGGGTTTTTGACTTTTTTCACCCCTAATATCAAACTCATATCTCTGTTACTGCAATCTCCAGGAACCCACCAAGACAAAGCATCCTCAACTTCATTATGAATCAAAAATATATATGCTTCTTCAAGGAGGAAGTGAGTATCTCTCTTAATTCGGGTTTTTTTAAGGCAAATCAACTTGTAGCTAAGGGAAGATCCACTCTGCTCCCCACCCCATAAAAGAGTTTTCTATGACATATACATAGGGGATTAATCATTTGAGAACTCTTAAATTTGTGAGATCCGTGCTAACTTCTACCTTGAGGTTTTGTTTTACATGATTTTTTCCATCTAAGTATAGTATTAAATACATTGATGAACATATATTTGTTTCACAATGTTCTATTTCATATGTATTCAATTCACAGTATGAAAATTTTTACTTGTATTTTTTGTTTCACAAACATGCCAAAAAGGTTCACATTGTGAACCGAGTACATGTGAAACAGTCATATTGAGAAACAAAGATACGTTAATCACTACTTTAAATTCTAACCATAGAAGGAAAAAATCATATGAAATAGCAAATGATGCACAAGTTCTCAAAGATCTCACGATTTTTGAGAGTTCTCAAAAGGTCCCCCTATATATATATATATATAGAGAGAGAGAGAGAGAGAGAGAGAGAGAGAGAGGGAGTTTTAAATACAAACCAATCTTAACCGTCCATCTAGCCAAAAAAGCAAGTGCACTAATGATTTTGGAATTCAACATATTATTTCCAACTTTAAAATTGACTCAAAACATTTATATTTATGGAACTTCAAATTGTTTTACTTTTGTAATTTAACAATAGTTTAATGTAGTTTGCTTGGACTGTAACATTTTCTTTAATCAATTTAATAAAAAAGTAACACATTGAGACTTAAATAAGAAATCTTGTATGGGACGGACAAGTATATATCCGAATAAACGATTAATCAGCAACTTGAAGTGTGAATCGTTAAGCTGTGGTCTGAGTTCTTGAGTTTATCTTTTTTCGATATATTATATCGGATCAGTTTATAAGGTCATATATTCAATGACCATTTGTTTTTCTTGTTAATGAAGCGGGAATACCCAACCTTAAGTGGTATGGAGTTGAGGGCGAGTACAATATCATGGTCATTGACCTCCTTGGACCCAGCCTCGAAGACCTTTTCAACTATTGCAATAGAAAGTTTACCTTGAAGACAGTTCTAATGCTTGCAGATCAACTAGTAAGTGCTAACAGGTACCATCTATATAGAGTATCTGACTTCAAAAGTCCACGTCTCATTTACGTACCTTACTAACTTTGCAGATAAATAGGGTTGAATACATGCATGCAAGAAGTTTTCTTCACCGTGACCTAAAGCCTGATAATTTCTTGATGGGCCTGGGCCGCAAGGCAAATCAGGTGATAATCCAGTTTTTATAATCTGTTGCAGCACTCCTTGTTGCTTGTTGTAGACTCGTAGTCACGTGCTTATTTTTGCTGGCTCATTTTCGTTTAGTAATTCATTTATTTATTTTTAAAGTGATTGGGAAATGTTGTGTTGGTGGTGTCCACTGTAATTTTTTTTAAACAATTGGATATCATCTAAGGGACTGTTTTTAGCAGCTTATTGAGCTTAATGGGACTCGCAGCTTATTCAGTCAGCTATACATGACTCTTTGGTAGAGGGCTAGTGGCTTAATGATATAGTAAGTGACTTATTTAGTAAGCTTTTAGGGGGGGGGGGAGCTTTATGCAGAAAGCCAAGTGTTATCCAAACCTGCCCCTCCTAATTAAAGAACATGCTCCTTCCATCTATGAAAAAACCCTCCCAAACAAAGACCTTCCCAATCCATACAAACAGATTAATGCACAAACAACTTTATCCATACAAGACTTAATTGAAAACCAACCAAACAGCCCCTAACTTGGCTTTCGATATGTTACAAAGAACGACAACATTACAGCTAACATACCGTAAATGTTTCATATATCTTCTTATGGTCGTTGTTATGGCAGGKATACATCATTGATTTCGGCCTTGCAAAAAAGTTTAGGGATCTTCAAACTCATAAACATATACCATATAGGTAACTTGGCTATCCTCAAAAGTTTATTGTTACAACTTTTTTTGCATCTTATACGATTTGAGAATTGCTTCTGCCTTGATCATGCTCTCACTTCATTAGTTGGGTGTTTCTTTGGCTTCATTTTACCTTGTCATTTTTTTGTCTATATCTATTCCTATTGCTATCATGGTTTTAAAAATCGTTTGAGGCGTACGCCTCGAGGCGAGGCAAGGCGGCCCAAAATCACACATGAGGCGGCGCCTCTTGGAACCTGGACGAGGCTTACGCCTTGGTTCGGTGAGGCGTTGTCGAGGCTTTATGGCGGTTGTATTACTTCTCTTTATAGTGTAAATATCTTTTTTATTTAAAAATAAAATAAAGATCAGAGCCCAGTGACCCCAATGTTCACTTTTTAATATTTTAAAACCCAAAAAGCTGGTACTTTCTACTCTCGATCAAAAAGTGTGGTTTGACCCTTCCTCTTCCTTTGAGCAACTAATTTTTCCACACCTTCTCAGCCTATCTCAGGGTTTCACTCTTTCCTCTGTCAAGAACCACTAAACAAACGCCCTTAGCAATTTAGTATTATACATAAATGTGTATATATGTGTATAGTATATATACATATTTTGGTGTATATATATTTCTGCTTTGAGGCCTGATTCTGCCTTTTTAAAACCTTGATTGCTATTGCTTACTCGTATCACACTTTCAATGTTTAGTGTTTTCTTCCATTTCCCACACTTGTCACTAGCACCCCCGACCCCATCTCCAATTGCTCTTCTCTCTAGGGTAGAGTTGAGGTCTGCGTACATTTTACCCCCCCAGACCCCACCTCCAAGATAGGATATACTGGTCTTGTTTGGTTTTGTATTGTTTTTCTATATTTGCATGCGTTACAAGGTATTTCCCTTTAATTATTCTATTATGGGATTCATCAAGAAGTTTTCATCAGGGAAAACAAGAACCTCACAGGCACGGCTCGCTATGCTAGTGTCAACACACACCTTGGAGTTGGTGAGTTGTTCATTGCATCCGTGAATTTTTTTTGGGCCACTAAAGACTGATGAATTTTAACGTTTAATATACTTGTGATTATGCAGAACAAAGTAGGCGGGATGATTTGGAATCTCTTGGTTATGTTCTTATGTATTTCTTAAGAGGAAGGTGAGTAGATGAAGTCTCGGCTGTTCCTATTTCATTTCATTTTTTCAACCTCTTCTAGTCATTGATTTTCGTTTGTAATTTGTTTGTGCCTTTTGCATTAGCCTTCCGTGGCAGGGACTGAAAGCAGGAAACAAGAAGCAAAAATATGACCAGATAAGCGAAAAGAAGTTATTGACTCCAATAGAGGTACTATAGAAGTCCTCATATGTGTGGTGCTTTGTGCACAGTAAAAATGCTGTTTTTATTTTGATTTACAAATATGTCGTTTCAATCCGATTTAACATATGACAAGGAACAACAGAAATTACCAAAAGGATAGATTGATTTGGTGTTGTTGGTTCATGGAGTGGAATCTGTCAAAGGAATTGGAATCGGAATAGAATTTAATCGGGTTTGACCATCTGTTTAGTTGGCAGGAATTGGAATGGAATTTGTCAAAAGAATTGGTGTTTTTTTGGTTCTCTAAATATAACTTCAGGATTATAATAAAACAGTGATAATTACCAAAATACCCCTTCATGCTTCGTACTTTATTGCTTAATTGATAAATATTATAGAGTGATAAAACTAATAATAATAATATTAGTTGATGGTGGTGGTGATTCGGTGGCGGTAGGTGGTGATGGTGGGGAGATGGTGGTAGTGACAATAGTGTGGTGGTGGTGGTGGTGGTGATGCTGACGATCGTCATGTTGGATGGAATAAATTAAAGTAAATATAATGGCATAATAGTCTTTAAAGGATTTGATGAAATTGGAATTCGGTACTAAAACTCATAGAATGAACCATGGAATTTCCATCGGGTTCTAGTGAACCAAACGCCACCTGAGAGTTTATGCTTATAGTCAAGGTTTTAAAAGGCGGAATCGGGTCTCAAAGGCGTTTTCCCTCAACGAGGCGAGGCTTAAGCCCCAAGGCAGAAATATATACACACAAAAAATATGTATATATACTACACAAATATATATATATATATATATATATATATATATACACACACACACAGACACACACACTACACACATACACACATATATATATATATACACACTACACACACACACATATATATATATACTACACAAATATATATACATTTATATACAACACACACACATATAATACTAAATTACTAAGAGGCATTGGTTCAGTGGTTCTTGACAGAGGTCAGAATGAAACCGAGATAGGCTGAGAGGGTGTGGAAAAATTTGTTGCTTGGAGGATGAGGAAGGGTCAAACCACACTCTTTGATTGGGGGGGAAAAGTACTAGCTTTTTGGCTTTAAAATATTAGAAGTACACATTGGGGCCATTGGGCTTTGTCTTTTAGTTTAAAAAAAGACTCACTATAAGGAGAAGTACTGCTGTCATAAAGCTTATAAAAAAAGCCAAAAAAATCATTACCAAAGCATTCGAGGCGTATGCCTCGAAACTGTGTCACGCCTCATCGAACTGCCTTATTGAACCAAGGCGTAAGCCTCGTCTAGGGTCCAAGAGGCGCTGCCTGGTGCGGTTTGGGCCGCCTCTTACAATTTTTGAAACCATGCTTATAGTTGAGTAACGGTTGAGAATTTTGCTGTCGGTGGTAAAGAGACATAGTTGTTAGAACAAAGAAAGCATCGATCTTTAGTAACCTTTTCTTTGGTAACTCTGGGTGTCTGAACCAGCTTGTGTGCACCTCAATTAATCCCATGGGGCCTAAAGATAAAAGCTCGGAAAATAGCTAGAAGTTTTGTCCTTAATTCAAGATGTTTGTATGGTGTTTTATCGTTGTGATGAGATATTTTTCTGATAAGATCGCAATGTGAACTCATTATGACGTTAGATTTTTCTTAACAGGTGTTATGTAAAACATATCCATCAGAGTTCATATCGTATTTCCACTATTGTCGATCATTGAGATTTGAAGACAAACCTGACTATTCATATTTGAAGAGGCTTTTCCGAGACTTATTTCTTCGTGAAGGTGAATGATTTCCATCAAGTCGAAGTGTTTGATACTTTCATCATTTTAGCAATCAATACACACACCAAATGTGTAGTAGATATTTAGTGTTATTATTTTTCTGGAAGTATTATATATAGAGTCAGGTTTAGGGGAAAACCGCAAAAAAAATTGAAAAATTGAAAATTGAGGAACATCCTAGTAAGCAATCATCAAGTAATTTGTATGTAATTTTTCCAGTATGCACACGTGCATAGAAACCATGAAACATCTTCAATTACTTGTATTCATAAGTGCATACTGTAAGATGAGCGGTTATTTAGGGTGTTACTCAGTTTTTCATTTTTTGGGGGTTTTCCCCTTAACCTCACACACACACTTTCATTAGACCACATAAGTAATTTGGGATCATGTGAGACCAGACTGTTTTCGTGAGACCACATAAGTAATTTTGTGTAGCTTCGGTGTTATTTTGTGGTCTCATGGGTCTCACGAAAAGAGACTGGTCTCATGTGAACCCAACCACATATATATAGCACGGTAAATACTCATGTACACTCATAGGAGGCTGAGTTCTACTGATAACCCGGATTTTGTAGGCCCAATGACCCTTTGGTTTATTGTTATTTTTTCAGGCTATCAATTTGATTATGTGTTCGATTGGACCATATTGAAGTATCCACAAATTGGAACCAGCTCTAGAGTACGAGTGAGTGAAAAAACGATTTCTTATTTATGTGATTTTGAAGAAGATGAGCATTCTTATATCTTGTGTTCTTTGGACAGCAACATCAAAGTGGGAATGGTGGTCAAAATGTTGGGACGTCAGCAGGAAGGACCTTAGGTATGACTAAGAATTACTATTTTGAAAGACAAATGTTTAAGAATTCTTGTATGTATATCGTTGCTTCTATCTTTTCGTGTAGGTGGACAAGATGTTCGTGATAGGTTCAGTGGTGCAGTAAGAAATCCGTCAGGTGGCGGTCGCCATGAACATTCTAGAAACAGGGCTTCGGAAGATGTACCTTCCTCCAAGGATGTCGTAAGTTTCTAATTTTTTTATTCTTGTTCTTTGGAGGTGCGTTTGGTATGTGGACTGGACTAGATAGGACAAGACTGGATGAATGAGAGTGAGGTTGGTGGGTGAAAAAATTGTGCTAAGATTTTAGGGTTTTAATTTGACGATGGATAGTTTATTAATTTACCGATCTTGTCCCTCCCATCTCCGAGGATTTTGTTTCATCCGGTCTTGGACTGCATAGCAGATGTACCCTTAGGGTGCGTTTGGTATTTAGACAAGACATGACATGACAGAACAATTGTTTAGCACTTGGTAAGATAGATTTGGACATGACAAAATAGATAAAATGACCAATTTACCCCTAATAATTTGTTTATATAATTTGATTAATGTCATTTATTAAATTATAGTAAAATAAATATTTTTTAAAACAAAATGTATCATTAGAAAGATTCGTCAAGACGATTAAAATGACACCAATATAAAAAGTTTATGTAGTTTCCAATTTCTATATTATACCTTTTCTATATTATTATTTTTATCATTAATATTTAATAAATTACATAAGTTAATCAAAATATAGAAACGGTATGAAAATAATATTTAGAGGACAACAAAGTGAAGTTTAAAGAGTATAAAATACAATAAATAAAATGTAAAAAATGAATAACATGTAAAGACGGAGGTGTATTTGATATTTTAGAAGAGAATTAGGTTTTATTTTGAGGTTATGTTGGTAAAATATAAGTCTGTTTCACCCTATTCCATGGGGTGTGGATGGAACACGCTTGTTTCCCTCTGTTCCTTTTGTTCCACCTGAAGTCTGCCTAACGTGGAATAGTGATCGTTGTTCTGTCCTGAAAACCAAACGCACACTTAAGGTTGCTTTTGATATGTTCCATTGTACTAAATCAAAAACTGCATGCACAGCAAGCTGATTCGGAAAAAGTGCGATCTTCTCGAAACGGGAGCTCAGCAAAACGTGGTGCTCTGAAACCGAGTTCCTCAGGTGAAGCTACAGATGGGAGATCAAGCCGAGTTGTGTCGAGTAGTGGAGGGCGGTTATCGACTAGTCAAAGAGTCCAACCATCGGGCTTTTCTGGTACTTCGAAGGATCCTCTCAGAAGCTTCGAGTTCCTTCAGATCAGGAAGTAAAATTGCACATGTAAAAATGGCAATATTTCATGTTTTAAGCCACACAATGGATAATCTGGGAATTTTACCCATGAGACTTGGTTAAAAGCCAATACTTGTGTAGGTTGTTTGTTTTGCACTTCTGTGTGATTATTTACATCAGATCAGAACAAATGAAGCTAAAAAAGTTCAATCATTTCCTTTGCATATAAGCAGAATAAAGGTTGGTTTGTTTACAACTAATGAGCTTAATGGGATTCAACTTATTCGGTTAGCTAACGTTTTGATAATGGCTTAATAATATAGAAGTGGCTTATTATTTAGTAAGCTTTTAGGAGCTTTATGCAGAAATCCTAGTGTTCTCTAAATCCGTTCCTCCCAATTAAAAAACGTTGTTTCTTCCATCTATAAAAAAATCATCCCAATCTACAAGAACAGATTAAACCACAACCAACTTTATCTAACCAACTTTATCTATACAAGACTTGATGGAGAAAATCAACCAAAGAGACAATAGACATGCAAGAGTGAGGTAGACTAGTAAAAGATTTCTGAAAGGTTTTAATTTGTCATGGGTATTTTAGTAATTAATCAATCTCGTTGGCTGTGATTTTTGTTCCAATTAGAGTAAATTACGTTTTTCCTTTATGGGTTGCTAAAAATTGTGATTTTATTCCTTGTGCTTTGAAATTATAGTTTTATTTCTTATGATTTGTAATTTATTGTTGTTTTTAAATATACGACCAACTTCATCAATGGTTTTACCATTTAAGTATGACGAACTAAAAAACAATGACTTGTAAATCACAAGGACAAAAACAACAAAGAATTATAGAAAAATCGTACTTTCAAAAATACAAGGACAAAAAAAAATCAACAAACCACATGAATGGAAAACGTAATTTGATCTTCCATTTTTGAGAGACAGAAAAGATGCGTATTCGTCTCACTCAAGTCTGTCATGTCACAATATAATACCGTGTCAAACATAGGACAACATATTTTTGTATTGACATTCTCACATACCAAGCACATATAGGGATCCTTGCCATCTTTTGGGGTACTCAAGGGCTATAAAGTCCTGAGCAATGTCACATGCACCTGTTCAACTTATTTACACAAGTAGAATTCCTTTTTAAGGTGTGAAAGGTGTATCTGCTAAACTTTGAGGAATGCCCAGGACATTAGAGAAGACAAGAAACATCAACCAAAAAAACTTAAAATCCCTCAAAATCAACCAAAAATTTTAAAACCCCCCCTCGAAACGGTGGAATTTGGCTGAAAATACATGGGACCATTTTGCAGGCATTTGATCCACCTAAAAGGTGCATCCCTCGGCAAAAACCCTGGGTCCACTACGAGAGGGTACTTGAATAAGGTTAAACTCATGCATAGAAAAAAAAAAACATATCTTCAACACAATTTGTGCAGAAAAGAAACAATTAAGCTAAAGCTGAAAGTTATGATGACAATGATGGACTTGTGGGTAACATCAAATGATGGAAAATGTACAAAAGTGCAGGAAGCTCTTTCTTCATTGATGAGAAGCTGACCATATACATACATATATACATGTATGTATGTATACATGTATATGATTTCTAGCCTCTTAATGCTGCGAGTCTCTTTTCTAGCTCATCCATTCCAGAACTGCATAAACACCATCATATTTCAATTAGCCTTCTGGCATTTTACGAAAACAATGATTGGTTAACAAGGAACAGCCAGGTATAATGATTCATCATAATGATTAGTTGATTACTAATGAGCGCTTATTCTATAATATCCCTATATAGAAAACATTGCATCTATGGGTTGGGTTCTCATGAGACCATCCTATTTTTGTGAGACCACAAAATAACACTGAATCTTCACAGCAAAAGTGTGAAGGTACAAAAGAACACCGAACCTTCACGACAGAACACTGTGAAGGTATAAAAAACACTGAACCTTCATAGCAAAAACACTTTGAAGGTTTACCTTCACAGTGTCTTGATGTGAAGGTTCAGTGTTAAGTTAGGTGGTTTCATGGGCCTCAAGAAAACAGGTTGTTCTCACATGATCCCAAGGCTTGCATCTATTTTCAGACAAAAGGGGTAGCAAAAATGGAGACGGTGTATTAAAATTTCACCTGCTAGCATCCTCGGTATTTTTCCCAGCAATTCTTCCTTTGGGAGCTGATGATAACTGTGAAGCCACATTGACACCAATCTCATCTAGCACCTGCAATATGAAACATGGTAAATAGATAAATTATGGAGAAAAAATTGCAAGATATTAAAGTCTGTGTACCCCCAAGTCATACAAGCTGCTGAAAATGCATAAAGAAGGAGCACACACATTGCAGGAATGTTTGCGCTTGAATTAACAAAAACTAAACCAAACAAACCCAGTATATTCCACACCCAGATAGGATCCGCCGGGGGGGGGGGGGGAGGATGTAAGCAAACCTTGCGTCTACCCCGCAGAGGGTAGAGTGGCTTGTTTCTGTATAGACCCATGAGAGAAAAGTAGCATAATAACATGGAATGTATGCAGGTAGGGTGTATATAGAAACCAAACAAACCCAGTAAGTAAGAGACAGGTAGGGTCTAGAGGTAGAGCCGTAGAGAGGCTGATTCCATGAAGTGTGCTTGAATAAATCTTTTAGACTAAAAAGAACAGGTATATAGAGTTTACCTGGTTTGTTAGCTCATCAGTTTCATCTTCAGCTTCATCATCATCAAGAACATCATCTATGGCCTCTGTCATCATCTCAGTCTGCAGAAAGAGTGGGAAGAAATGAGTGCACCTTTTGAGAAATTAGGGCTATTTCTCACTCCATTTTGGGGATATGGTTTCCATTTTTCCTCAAATCATGGAGATGAAAATTGATATGAAATGGACTAAATAAATGAACCTTAAGTTTCCATTTGTGGAACCAGTGCTTCATGTCAAACTATTCACATAACAAGTGATTCTTTTTTTCTGTCCATTTCATATTGGAAAGGTGTGCACAATCTTACAGTCATATCCATTTGTGCAGATTGTTTCTGGAAATCTTGCATCACTTTCATTTGCTTTGCAGGAGCCATTTCCTGCAGAGGAACACATTCACATGATGAAAATAACGAATGATTTTCCAAGAGATAGAGCATTTATTCGTAGTTACTAGTGAAGATTACTTGCATATAAAACAACCAATAAAAGTAATACGACTAAAGATAATATACGCAAAACCAACAGGCCTTCTTTATCTTATCTTATGCTCCCATCATTTCGCTATGCACAGAAGGATAACAAGTAAAAATTAACTAGTCCATATTTAGTCGAAGGCTTTCATCTTTATAATTAATATGTTTTTCTGTTTCATAAATACATTCAAATAACAAAAATGTTATTGTATAACCTTATTCATTGCTGTCATTGCCTTAGTAGCACCTTTCATCCCAACGGCCACAGAAGAGTGCGCAGCCAATGCCTGAGAGAAGTTAAAAGCAATGAAAGCTATCATTTTTCTGTAATTTACAACAAAAAGAAAAGTTCCCATTTGAAGATCTACCTGTGTATGGGTTGCTATGCCTCTCATTTGAGCTCGACTACTTTGTAGATTGGCTATTTGTTGTCTAAGCCTGACCAATTGGCGTGCTAAAATTTTGGTTGCTGCCTGCACAGGACTGTGTTAGTACTTAAAAAGTCGGTCTTCAGATGAATATCCGATTATCAAATTTTCTGAATATAATGAATTCAAAGTATACAACTTACCTCATTTCCTGTTTTAGCTGTTCTCTTTATCTCAGCAACAAGCTTCTTTTCCTGTTTCAGTTATATGCATAAGATACAAGCGTTCTTTCTGAAGGAATACGGTACTAGTGTTTATAATACATTTATGTGAATATGCATCAAACCCAATGTAGTACTCCCTCCGTCCCAAAATAAGTGCCTACATTTTCATTTTAGTTTGTCCCAAAATAAATGTCAACTTTCAAAAATTAGTGCCCACTTTCCAATTCTACCGTTAAATTATGAGATGGAGAAATTTATTACTCCCTCTATTATCAAGGGTAAAATCGTCATTTAGCTAAGTAAAATAAAAGGTATGATAATTACACATTTCTAAAAATGTGTGCTTTTTTCATTCTGAACATTTATTTTGGGACGGATGAAGTAGTTATTTGTGCCATTATTCATGGATCTTTTTGTGCTCATGATTATGAGCGACTCCAGATGTAGAGACAATTACCAATATGATTTTGAAATGAAACAAGAAACTATACCATGAAAGTATCGTTCTAACTGAGATCTGTTTTAATTGTTCATTAGTTGTGTTAGTACTTATCATACTCGATGAGGTTAGACTCTAACGGCATTTGTAACGCCCGAGGCCTAAAGCAGCAGGCTGGCCCAATAACCTCTAAATAAACTTAAAACCATCCCAATGGTACAAGGTTCGACAATGACGACATTTGTAACGCTCGAGGTCTAAAGCAGCAGGCTGACCCAATAACCTCTAAATAAACTTAAAACCATTGTGGGTGTTATTGGTAGCCCATAACTTTAAACTTTAAGGAGCTCACAAATCTAATATTTAGTTCATGTGGGACGGTTTGTTACAATGTTAGCAGGGTTTAGACTCAAAGACCTAAAACCCATCCCCCTCCCCCCCCCAAAAAAAAAGAAAAATAAAACTGATCAGATCAGAGCACTAACAGGATCCCTTCATCCGTTGACCTTGTTTCAGATATGTCTCTTCGCCATATTCAATTTGGTCTTCTTACATTTTAGGTTCAGCTGGAGTGATCAACGCCTATCTTAACTTTTACAACCTCCTTCAATCCTTATCAAACCCGATGGTTCTACTTGGGTTTTTACTGGTATATGTTTATGAAGACCAGTCTGAATAGTGTATACAATAGTAACTTTGTGACTGGATGGTCTGCACCCACCAATTTCAGTGACAGAATATCGGAAGCTAATGATAGTGGTATCCATATGGTGCTGTTGAATGCTCCTTAATACTTATAAATTTTTTAATCTTAAATCTCGACAAACAGTGATAAAATACATCTGCACTCTGATTCAAGATCATAAGAAGTATCAAATAAAGATTGTTAGGAGGTAATCACAATGTCATGAAGCTTAAAACATACCTCTAATTGCAATGCCGTGATTTCCCTCTCTATACCTAAATCACAAGAAACAGCCAGACATATGATTCAACCCATAATCATAAGATGAAATACGTGGTTAATTTGAGCAAAACTGGCTCACATGGAACACGACCCCTAGGAACCACATGTGAGGAGGCATTTGAGAGCTAACTCGGTGGCTGAGGCTGGTGGAGGGGTTCGAGCCCGTCTCCAGCAGGATTCAAACTTGAACCTGTTATGTATTTGAGCAAAGTCGCTCCATCCCTTTGCCAACTGAGCTACACGCCCGAGTGCTTGAAATACGTGGTTAATTGTTTTAGCATTTGTCTATCTTCTGTGATAATTATATGATCTTCTCAATTGGATTATATGATTCTTTTAGAGCAGTGATATGTAATGCCTAAGCATACATTAAATACTCAAAATCTTCATCAAGTTCAGTGAGATGCTATCAGTGCACCAACTTTCAGCAACCAACACATACAAGAAGTGACCATGGCTAAACTCAAATGAAGAACATGGAGGTCATGTTTAGTGTTGATTATCATCAAATTACATCATATATGGCGTTATAATACAAAATTAGTTGACTAACTACATCAAATACATCATATATGGTGTTGATGATCATCAGGTTACATCAATTTCAGTGAGATGCTATTCTTTTAGCTTAAAACTTACTAGAAATTATATAAAAACAACGAAATTAGTTAAAATTGAGCTTACCCCTAGTAGCATTGGCCATTTCTCGCTTACTCTCTCGAAGCGCTTCTGAATCATATAAAAACAACGAAAATTATGTTAGCAAATGATTCAAATGATCGATACCGCAATTAATCTAATCAATTAAGTAATTGAATGAACACGGCAATCAAACATCACCCAAAAAACTAAACAACAAAGCGATGTCGGTACAGTTGTTGAAACTTAAATCCAGCCATGAAAGTGGAACTAACAAGTTTATGAACATGAATTTTGGCAAACAGACATGAATCAGTGAACTAATTGAACCATGAATCGTGTAAAACAGTTAATTTTAATCACAAAACAAGGGACTAGGTCACAGATAACGCACCCTTGGGAGTGGGTTTCTTCTTGAAGATGTTCATGATTGGTTGATCAGCGATCCGATTGAAGGATTACAAGCCTATATGCTACGATCTTGATATAATCAAATTATATACACAAATAAACACGAACTCACGAAGACGATATCAATCAGACTGTAATTCAAACCCAGGAATCTTGTTATCGAGATTTTGATAAGGTTTAATTCAAGAAAAAGCCCAGGAAATCATTTGATTTGTTCTTGGAAACCTCGTTGACATCCATCGTGTGGGCATAAAATCCTCTATATACATAATACATATAACATCTGTATGTATATATTTTATCAACAATAAAACGATTTAATTTAATTAATGTGCGAACATAAATATTAATGTAAATGGGGTGTAAATGGGGTTGAGTTTAGCAGTGTAAGACTCGTTAAATTATTCTTTTACACTTAAAACTTTGAAGTAAAACGTTGCGAAAGTAAGGTAACCTTCATGGGAAAAATACTGTGAAAGTTATCTTTACAGCGTTTTGTTGTGATGTTTCAAATGTAAAAAAATGGTCTTACGGGTCTCACATGATCCCAAGTTTTGTAAATAATATTCGGTTCATAAAGTAATATATGTTGAAATTATGATATCTTAAAAGAAAATGGAATTAAAATGATATTTGAGGGCTGTTTGATGGAAGCTTAATGGGTTGTATAATGGATATGGTTTATTCGTACAACCATATTCTAGATGTTCGGTATGAGTTTATTCGGTTAGCCATGGCTAAATCATTCAACTAAAAAACTTAATGTCCTTTGTATTCGACCATAAAATTCCCCCAACTACCCTATCCCTCGACACTCCATCATCGTTCCTCCCTTAACACTCCATTGATTCTGCGTCTCACCACCCATCACTAGTATGTTTCACTCCACCAGTTTCCTTCCTGTTGCAATTCTCTCCGTCGATCTCCTTGCTGTTGCAGGTTCTCTCTATCGATTTCCTTCATGCTATAGGTTTGTTGGAGACCTGTTGAAGACTCCACCATCACAGATTCCTTCCCGTGGAAGATCTGTTAAAGACTCGCCATTTTTTATGTTTCTTCATCCGATTCATACCATTTGCATACCTGTTTTTCTTCTTTTATGTTACATGAAACAAAATTGTGGCTAGGTCTATCTTCTTTCTTCTTGATATTTGCTGCACAAGAAGTAGAATTTTAATTGGGAACTTGTATGGTAAACAATGAGTTTTTTTGTTAACAAGAAAGCTAAAAACAAAGAAGGGGTAAAATGGTCATTTATATTATTCAGACAATTTATTCAACACAACAACCGAATAACAATTTATCTGTTATTATACAGACAACTTTATCCATACAGGTCTTAACAGGAAATAAAATTAGCCACCATTCAAAAGTTCAAACAAAATAATTAAAATTACAAAGTTTAATATACATTACATAAAAAACTCAAGACTAATAAATAATTAAATAAGTCAGTACCATGATGCTTTTGAGTCTAAGAGCCAACAAAGGGGAATGATGGCTCTGTCGTCTTGGGGAGGGTTGAAGCCAACAGGGTCAGGTAGCCCTTAGGCCGTTGAGGCCAAGGGGAGGAAGCAGACAAAGCATGTCGTTCATAATGGAAAGTTACCGTTCCATCTATCATATCAGTCGAGTCAATTCGGTTCGATTCATTCTTATCCATAAATAACATAAGGAAAAACTTATATAATACATGACTTTTAATACCGTGTATCAATAAAGTTTGCATACTTAATACGATATTACCAATACATATGTTGATTGGTATAATTTGGTACAAAATTGTGACTCGTATATTCTCTTTGTTATTTGATCTTCATAAAATATGGGCTATGGGCTAGGTATTTTAAACACAGGCCCATTCTAGATTGAAGCCCAAAATAAGCCCAGCCAACTAATGGCCTCACTATAAAATGCATCCAGTGTTGCAAACCCTAACCTTTACCAGCTTCATCACTTCCGCCTCGATAAATCTTCTCGGCGCTCTACACCCGGGGCTTGAAAATGGTAAACGAAACCCTAATTTTCACTCTATCTACGTGCATTTATAACATGTATTTCAACAATGTGTGTATAATTTTGATTTTTGCAGCCGTTCAAGAGGTACGTTGAAATCGGAAGAATCGCCCTTGTCAACTACGGAAAGGATTATGGGAAACTCGTTGTTATCGTTGATGTCATCGATCAAAATCGGGTATTTGGAGCTTTTGCTTGATTATCTTGATATAAATTCGGTTTACTTGCTCTGATTTGGTTGTTGGTAATGCTCTATGTACTCGCTCGAGGTTTCATTAAGAACATGTAAATACATTACTTCGATTAGAACAAGATTTGATTGAGTAATGATTTAGTTTGTGTGGCTAGGTTTTGAAATAAATATGATAAGCGATAACTGTTATTGTATTCCCACTTGAATTTGTGAAAGAGTAGTCCTGTAATGCTAGATTATTTAGTGCTACCTAATTGTATTGTTCTAACTGCATCTTTATTCCAAACCAATGATCAGAAAACATATTCATATCCTTGTTGCATCTGTTTTTTTTTTTTTGCATTCATTCCTCAACGTGCTTCCTATTTTTAGTTCTAAAGATTATGGACGCTTTGTTTTCTAGGTAAACAATCTATCTTTCTGTTTCCAATACACATGGTATTCGAAATTTTGGATGAACATGTAAGATAACTTCATTATGTTGTTGTAGAGCTTGCTTTAAAACAGTTGATCCTTGTTAGGTTCAAAATAGGTGGAGGACATTTTGTAACTTTTTTGAGGGAGCAATCTGTAATATAGGTAGATAATGTTTCCAAGGACAAGTGATCTTGTTGCTATACTCTTTTCAAGGGTGGTTTCTTTTTGTTATTCTTTGTATGAAGCAACAGACTTTGTTTGTATTTAGCTGATGTTCATTATGCTTACATTTTGTAAATATTCTAGAAACCGTTTGCTTTTTCTTAGATTCTTTTGTGGATTGACAGGCTCTTGTTGATTCCCCTGACATGGTGAGAGGCCAAATGAATTTCAAAAGGCTAACACTAACAGACATCAAGATTGACATCAAAAGAGTCCCAAACAAGAAAACTCTGATTGCTGCATTGGAGGCTGCTGGTGGGTGACATGTCGATGGTTCGACATTTTTGTGCTTCTAGCTTGTTAGCTAACTGAATTTTGATTATTTGCAGATGTCAAGAACAAGTGGGAGAACAGTTCTTGGGGAAGAAAGCTTATCGTGCAGAAGAAGAGAGCCTCACTTAATGATTTTGATAGGTTCAAGATCATGTTGGCAAAGATAAAGGTAATGGAACTTCCTTTTTATTTTGTTTTAGTAACTCTCTAGATCATGAATTTGCTTGAATGCTTTTATTGGAATCTTTTTTATTTTATTGTATTAAGTTAATGATAGCGTGATATTCCATTCTAAGACATGTCACTTTGAAGTAATGATTTATTGAGATATTGCCATAGACGGGTGTTGTAGAATGTTATACAATTTCTACCTGGAAGTGATCAGAGAGTGCGGGACTTTGAACTAGTTAGGAGCAGGACCTGTGATTATTCACAAGCCCTTTTTGTTTTGGTTAAGGACCATTTAAGAACGGGCCTTGTCAATAACGGTTTGGACTGGTTAGGCAGGTGACTGAAAGCAAGACCGAATTGCAATTCTTTTGTTATCCATGTAAAACACAAATTGATGGGATTGATTGAACCCAATGCATTGGAACCTATCCTTTATCTATGCACCTCTATTTATGTTCATATGATGTTTTTGGTGTGGACTGATTGTGAGTATTGATCTTGCAGAAAGCTGGAGTTGTAAGGCAAGAGCTAGCAAAACTTAAGAAGGAAACTACAGCTTAATATCTTCATTTTGTTCTACTTTATTAAAGACTTTTTATTGAGGAGACCATTGTTGGTTGCTTAGAAGCTTGTGTTTTTATTTATTGTCTCTTGTATTAAAGGAAACCTAATTTGGCAGTTTTGAACTTCTGTTTTGGTTGCAATTGTTGTGAAACTGCTTTTTGCTTGGTAATTCATTCATTGACATGGGTTTTTTTTTTTGTGAAAGAAATTGAAAGCTTAATTCCAGCCTAGTGTCATTGTGTAGATCCAATAACTCAATAATACAAAATATTGCTTTTTTAAAGGAAACCAGTCCTACTGTTCAGAGAATGATAAAAAATTTTCTTCAATTTTTTGTAACAATTTTTCTATTATTTAGGGATGTTTATTAAAGTGCTGTCTGGTGGAATGATTTGATGTAGATTGATTAAGTGGTTATAATGATTAAGAGATTTGTATAATATAATATAAAATGAAATATAATTGTTTAGTAATTATTCAGAATGAATAGTTAAGGGAGGTTTAAGATATAAAATCATTCAGAGTGTTTTAGAATCATTAAGAGATATGTTTTGTTTTGCCAAACAAAATTTACATTTTAGAGATTGTCTTAAGTGGTAAACAAATAACTACTAGATTCTGGACATTGGGTAAGCATGTCGAAAATTGGATAATCTTGGGGGTTGTTTACCAAATGCTTACCTGGATAAGTGTTTACCAAGTCACATTACCTTACCGGATGAATACGATAAAAACCAAAAATCTTATCCGGTAAGACCAAACCTATGGTTAGCGTTTACCGAGTAAATTATTATATATAATGTCGTTTTGGTGGACTCAAATTTTACATCGTAAGTAAATGATAATGTTGAATTTTATTGAACGCTTACCGGGTAAGTGTTTAAGTAAATGGCTCCTTACTTGGTAAGAGACATTACCCAATTATCATTTTAATAGTCAACAATATTACTAGTAAGTGTTGACCGAGTAAAAGTCATTTACCAATAATCCATTTTGATAGTTAGGAATGTTACTAAATGATGCAAGTAAGGATAGTAACTTTTGTTGGTAGTCGTTTACTTGATAATCGTTTGGCAAACGAATCTTAATAGACAACAATCATGTTCAGAGATAAATTTTTACTTGTCTATACTATCATACAAGCATGTTCAAGTGAATCATTAATATTTTTCAAGTATGTCAAGAGAAAACCAAACAATTTAGCATATAGCCATTTATGAACTGATATATGGTTATATACTAATCTAGATCAGATTCATACGAGAAACGAGATCAATAACTAAATAAGAGAATAAGAAGACGGTCGAATTATATATGATTTTACACTAAAATCACATGTAAAACCATATGTGATTCATGCAATACATCGCAGACACACACCTTCACGTTAACCATTGATGTAAAATCACATGTGAATTTGTACGTGTTTTGGCATTTCTTTGTAGTAAAATTTTATATTCCCATACATTATATGGGTAATAAGTAGAAAATCTTTGGAGTTGAAATACTTCAAATATAATTCTATTTTAAACTGGTGTCAATTTTGGATAAACAAAACTACGAGGGCCTAAGTGTAAGAAACACCAAAGTTAAAGGGCTTATATAATATAATTTCATTTATTATCGGTCTCTGCCTGAAGAAGAAGAAGATATAACAGCGTCATCCCAAAGCCAACTTCAAGTTCTTCAAACTACCTCATTCAAGGTTTCAGTTCTATTCTGATTTAATTTAAGTTGTTTTGATCTACTTGTCAGTGTTTCTGGATTCTAGTTTCATAATCAATCATGGTTTAGGGTTTAATAATTGCTATGATCGAGTTATTTCATCAGCTATTCAATGATTTCCATGTAAATAGCCAGATTTTTTGATATTTCGTATGGTTTTTTGCATTAGGTAGTTGCTTTCTGCATTAAGTTCTGTAATTCCTTTGGTCATGGGTGATGCTGCTGAATGTATGTGTATGAAAGTCATGTCATCAACTGAGATGAGTTAATGATTCTGTTTTCTTTGAACTTGGTGAAATGTGAATTAGAGGGCTCAAAGTTGTTGCTGATTTTAGTGTGACTGTGATTTATATTAGATTGAGGCAGACATAACTGAATTAGGAGTTGCGGAGCGCACATTCATAAACTGTTGTCTTTTCATCACCTTAGATCGTCATAGAGAGGGTCAAGGGGGCCGTGCCCCCTTGCTGGGTCCAAAGGGCAGAGCCCCTGGCGGTTTATGGATTTTAACAAGAGCTAGACTTAGAGAATTTTAGTTCTGGGATGATCTGTACGAATTTCAGAAGGTTGAAAACTTCTTGAATTTGTTCCCGAAATTGGTAGAAATTTGACTAAGGGGCCTTCTACCAAATGCTTCCCAAGTCATATTACCTTATTGGATGAATATGGCAAGGACCAAGGATCTTACCTGGTAAGAGTGAATGCAAGGATCGAGAGTCTTACCTGGTAAGAGAGGGCGACGACTCTTACCATGGTTAGCGCTTACCGAGTAAATTGTTGCATATGATGCCGTTTTGGTGGACTAAAATCTTAGCCAATAAATAAGTGATAATGTTAAGTGTTTGTGTAAACGGCCCCTAAGTCTGGATTAGAGATAGAGCAATCAGAGCTCTGGACTTTAGAGTCTCTGGACCGTGGAACCAGAGTTACGGATTTTTCTTCTGATTCTCATACAGATGTTAACTGCTCCCACATTTTATCCGTCAATGGTTGTAACCGCCCATAACACACGATCTCTCATATAAATCTGTAAACGAGAATCTGAGAGTGTATATAAGGACTCAGTCTCACAGCCTTTGAGATAGGAGTTTTCTCGTGGATTATCCCCATATGAAATTCGTGATACCCAAGGCTATACGGGACAAATTATTGTATTTGGAAAGTGAATTTTTACGCTCCAACGAGATTATCCAGTCCATGAACATCTCCAAATCCCAATTTCTAACAAAAGTTGCTATAGACTATGTTATGAGAATCAGGATACCCTGTAGATCATCCATGCTTGATGAAAAAGGAAGCAACAAGTTTATCGACTAGTTAAATTTTAGTTTTATTAAAGTATACATTTCAGGTATTGTAGGCGGTATTTGGTTTCCTCTTTTAACAATTTGGTTTATAATCTTGGCATGTTCTTTGGCTAGCCCAAGCTTGTGGGATGCAATTTGTTGGTAGTGATAGCAAAGCCAGATTTTGCTCCTTTGGTCTAAAATATCATATATTGATGCAGTAGTCACAAGATGGAAGGGACAGCTTTTGCTCCTGCTTTAGAAGGAATGAAAAATGTCAAGTCAGAAGAAGGAGAAATGCTTTCCAAGCCTTTCTTAGACGTCTGCAAACAGTTATTACCTGTTATTGGTATGATGATGCTTTATAGACAAACATTATTTATCGTTACTAGATACTCAAATACCTAAAAGTTACAAGAAAATATTACAACAATGTTTTGAACATTTGAGGGAGATGTCCAAGTTTTTCGTAACTTGGATGGAATAAGAAAATAATCTGCATGTTATTGTTGATATGACCCCCTTTTGAATGCTTAACATTTCTCATAGGATGTGGTAGTACCTTCTAAGTTTTGTCTCTAATGGCAGATCAGTTTGGAGCAGCCATGGCACTAGTCAAAACTGATGTTGGTGGGAATATAACAGTAAGCAGTTGTCTTTTTCCTTTCTCTTTTTTTGGAAGGGTGTCTCAGGCTATGCCTAATCCCGACAAATTGTGACTGCAAGAAATCAGCCCTGATAAACTCAGTGGCCACAATTGTTTTGTGTACGCCTGGAATTGGATCCTGGACAGATGGGATATTCCACCACATCCCCCGGACATCGACCACTACGCCACAACCCTTGTGGTTATGAATGTCGTCTACCTCTCATTGGAGTTCCACAAACTTCTTTGCCATGAGTTGATTCTATGATTGTGGTTGCCAACTTACTGATTGATACTTTTTTATATCTATCATCTTTTATCAGTATAAGCGAAGTGCATTTCCTTTATAATTAGTTCCACTTATTTTGCATTAAAACATTTATGAGAGAGAAGAGATATTTTTGGGGTGGGAACAAATTGGTGCCACTATGTGAGACTCCACATGCATGCCAATTTTTTTTTAAAAAAGCATGTCTCATAGCTTCCTTGTCAACTGAGGTTGCATAAGGTTCTGCAAGCTATCCATCTACCTTTTGTGATATTTTTGAGCAAATGTTCTATTTATATGCATAAACAACAAACCCTGCAGTTTTTGGTTTTAGTTCTTAGGGTTAGGTTCAAGGGAAAACCGTAAAAAAATGAAAAACCGAGGAACACCCTGGTAACCGCCCATCTGGACTGTATGTACATGTGCATACATGTAATTTGTAAGCAATTTTTCCGGTATACACACGTGCGTAACATGCACACATGCGTAAAAACCAAAAAACAGCTTCAATTACTTGTATGCACATGTGCATACTGTCCAAAATGGTTACCAGAGTGTTCCTCATTTTTTTCATTTTTTCGAGGTTCAACCCCTGAACCTCCCTCTCGATTCTTAATTTATCAGTTAACCTGGTTCTTTATATCTATCTATACCTTAGCGGTTGGAAAACAAGTATTTGTCCAATCCAGCAAAATACAACCACCTATACAGTATGGTTCAGGTGGAGATTGAAGCCAAAAATGCAGATGCTTCATCCAGTTGCACCAATGGTCTTCTATGGCTAACAAGGTGAGGATACCTCACACTTATATTATCACACTCCACATCACAAGATACCAAATTTGAAACAACCTTCATGTACTAAAAATCTACTTTTTCAGGGCGATGGATTTTATCGTAGAACTATTCAGAAATTTAATGGTGCATGCAGATTGGAGCATGTCGCAAGTTTGTACTGAAGCCTACACCAAGACACTTAAGAAATATCATGGCTGGTTAGCCAGTTCAACTTTCATGGTACGCATTTTAATAGACTTTTATAATGCTGTTAATCGCACCGCTATAGCTGTGCAATAGAGGTGCTATCGTGGGACAAATAGCGGTCACGTGATTAGCGGCGCTATTGACTGCTAAATGACCACATTTTCAACACAAAAAAGCAGCCGCATAACCACTATTTGTATATAGACTGTTTTGGTGTTAAAAAAGTAATTTTGTGGGCTTTTATTTAGGACTTGCATTCGGTTTTTTTCTTGTTTTTTTGGACTAGGACACCATTATTTTATTTTTTTTGAACTTAGGACACCATTATTCTTATTTCTTTGGATTTGGACACCATCACTTTGACCTCTTGATTTGAATAAAAGTATTCACATTGTTCAATTATTTTTATTTGGACTTGGATATCATCATTCTTATATAGTTTTTATTGAATACATAAAATATGTTGAGTTATGTATGCATATATATAATTCTAATTATTATATGAACCTACAAAGGTTTTCTTAGTTTTCGAGAGACTGAGATCTCTCCCAAGGCTGTCGTGAATCTCCAATCAACAAAACTAAACTAATGATGCCTTCTAACCACTCACTCCCTTTCTTATACTACCTAAAGCTACAATTCCCTGCATTACTCATATGTACCATTGCATTATCCACTTGTACCGTAGTACTCTATTTCAATTATTGACTATAATACCCAGGGTGTAATAGACATGAGAAATACCGTCAATGCATATAAATCCATCTATACATAGTTGCTCTGGGAAATCATCATCAATAGCAAATATGAGCCCACACACTTGCAATATGTGCTTAGGTTCTTAGACTTGGGGGATGTTTAGCCAATGCTTACTTGGTAAGCGCTCGCCTGTGAGAGTTCACACTTTCATTTTATTTACCTGGTAAGATTTTAGTCTATTAAAAAGGCATCTTATGCAACATTTTTGTCCGGTGAGCGCTTACCGGGTAAGAGTCATAACTCTCACTTACCGGGTAAGACTCTCGGTCCTTGTCATCGCTTTTACCGGGTAAGATTCTCAATCCTTGTTATGTTCATTCGATAAGGTAAAGTGACCCGGTAAGCACTTACCAGGTAAGCGTTTAGTAAACGTCTAAATTATAGGTTCTAAACCCTCTATCTTCTATTTTTCTTCCCTTCAAATTAATCAATTGTCCCTTACCTGAATCTGGAATCACAGCTTGCAATGAAGCTTGCTCCTGATAGACAGAAGTTCATGGAGGTTGTAGGAGGAACTGGTGACATTAGTTCTGATATTGAAAAATTCTGCTCAACTTTCCGACCTCTCCTTGAAGAGAACCACAAGTTCTTGGTAAAATCATCTCATAAGAATTCATCTGTTATTGATTATGGTGCTGGAGTTGGGATCATGTGAGACCACATAGATAACACTGAAACTTCACCGCAGAACACCTTTGCTGTGAAGTTCGGTATCTTTGTACCTTCACAATGTTTTACTGTGAAGTTTTAGTGTTATCTTGTGGTCTCAAGGTTCTCATGAAAACAGGCTGGTTCACCAACCCATGGTGCTGGAGTAACTCTGACGACCAATTTTCTCGTTCTGCAGGCTAGTGTTGGTCTAGATGATCTGAAAGCAAACTAACAAGCCGTACGCTTTTGGTGCACTACTTTTCACTCATGGAGAATGCATATGTTTTTAAGCAGTCGGTTTGGTCCTGAATGTGTGTAATCACTATACTGCCAGTTGAAATTTAATCGTAATTTTGATATCTCTAAAGTGTCCAGGGTTCCAGCTTGGATTTACGGGTTGTTTGGTTGGTTTCTATTAAGTCCTTAATGGATAAAGTTGTCTTTGTGGATTGATCTGTCTATATGGATTGATATTTTTTTTGTCTGGAAGAGTTTTTCCATAGATGGAAGGAGCATGTTCTTTAATTGGAAGGGACAGACTCTGAAAAAACTTGGCTTTCTGCATGAAGCTCCCTCCTAGAAGCTTACTGTAAGCCACTTTTTATATCATCAAGCAACTACCAACTAATCATGTAACTGAATAAACTGTCTCTCATTCTCATTAAGCTGCTAACAAACAGGCCCTTATTGATGTCTGAGCTAAGCCCTTTGGTACACGTTATTTAAGATGTATTCGAAGATTTGTAGTGTGTTATCTTTAAAATTTCTGTGCAGAACCTTACAACAGCAAGGTTATGTTCTTGCTTAGACAACTCTTCATGGGGTTTAGATTGGAGAAAATTACATACCCTAACTCTGTAAGTTATTACATACCCACGACACTTGTCACACAACAATACTGCTGAGGAATATTTAAACCTATAGGGTCGCACACAAAAAATACGTTTACCTCCATTTGTAGAAACCTAAGCTAAATCAAGTTGGAGTGTATAAATAATTATTCTTGAAGGATAATTATGAAATATGTGTTGAAATGTAATTATGATAATTACAAGGTATTATTGTGAAGGTGAAGGATTGTGTGAGAAGGAAAATTAAGGTGAGAAGCTAAGAAGGGATCTCCACCCTTGATCACCTTTAATCTCACACGCTTGATACACCGGTGCATCTCATCCTAATGTGCATCCAAGGGTGGAGATCCTTCTTACGCTTCTCACCGGAACCCAACCATTATTGTAGATGTATATAATTATATAAGTATTACAGATAATTACAGATCCTTGAATCGTAGTTTATCTGTAATTCAGACCATATAAATAAGGTGATAGGCTAAATCAATTTCTGACTGATTGAATAATTTAGATTTACCCTTCAAATAGAGAATACAGAAAAGAAACCTTTCTTTTCTGTAATACACATATTTAGATCTAGGGTTATGGGCTAGCATCCGGTGGAGGTGCTAAACGTGCTCGTGTGTGGAGAACTATATTGGTTTCCATGTGCTTCCTCAGAATCCTCGTTAAATTTGTAAGGTACAATTCTAAACCCTCTATGTTGTGTTTAGACATTTACTAAATGCATCATTGGATCCGAATTGGGTTTTGATTAGAAAAGTTTTATGATTTAATTTGTAACAAAAAATTTAATTTCCGTTGCTTTTATCGGTTACAAAATCTTTTAAAACCTAACATATACCTTTAATAGAAAGTACTGCTTGTAATGCACAAAGTACAAATAGAGGACAAGTTAAATTTTACAGGAGATGCTCATTTTCAACCACCAGTTTTATTTAGAATCTAGTTTGAAATGGTAAAAACTCAAATCAAAGGTGGTGTTTTATACCGACCAGCTTCCTCCTATTTCTTCTCTTTCTCATCGATCATCTGATCCTCTCTCTCTCTTTCATTCTTTTATCTATATCTATTTCGCCCCCTCCCTTGACCCCCATGTCTTCTGGTTCAATTCGTCTGGTTGATTCTCTGTAGAGTTGTTTACAACATATTACGGGGTCAGCTGACCCCATTCATATCCGGAGCATACTGATCCTTTGAAGATGGGTACTAAGGTGAAGGGCTTTTTCAAAGGCCTGAAAAACATCTCAAATATTTTCGGTTAGTCTCTCTTTTCGCACATTTACAAGTACAATTATTACAACTCTAACTTTTTCAAAGGCCTGAAAAACATCTCAAATACTGATCCTTTGAAGATGGGTACTAAGTTATTGCTGTTTGCTGACATGATCATGCAGACTGACGTGACTATTAACGTTGTGGGTGCAGATGAAGAAAAAGAAGAACAAGAAATACAGATCGGTATGCCCACGGACGTGAAGCATGTTGCTCATATCGGTGGTGATGGGCCAGCCGTTGAATCTCCCAGCTGGGTACTTCATCTCTTCTTTGACTAAACTGTCTTCTTTCATTTGATGGTTGAATGCAGCTCATATATATATATATATATATATATATAGGTCGGGTTCAAATGAGAACCGTAGATATTTTGAGAATGGAGGAACCGACTTTTTCATGTATTCATAATGAATAACCCTGAATGATGAAAATTCTTCATAATAAAAATAATTTATATTCATGATAAAAATACATGGCATTCATGATAAAATGATTATTTAAGGTTATTCATTATAAATAATACATGAATTTGGGAACCATAGTTGGTTCCATGGTTCTTAAAATATTTATAGTTCTCATTTGAATCTACCCTTGTATATAAACACCTCTATATATATATAGGGAGGTTCAGGAGAAACCCCAAAAAAAATGAAAAATTGAGGAACACACTTGTAACCGTTCATCTGTATGATATACACATGAGCATACAAGTAACTGAAGTTGTTTCTTGTTTTTAATACACGTGTGCATGTTATGCACATGTGATACCGAACAAATTACTTGTATGCACATGTGCATACTGGACAAATTACTTACAAATTACTTGTATGCACATGTGCATACCGTACAAATGCTACGAACAAATTACTTGTATGCACATGTGCATACCAAAATGTTCTTCAGTTTTCCTTTTTTTTTTTTTTTTTGTCGTTTTCCCTTGAACCTGGTTCAGGCCCTATATATTTAGATATAGATATGCACGTGTGTGTGGTATATTTGCGTTCTTTGATCTTTGTTCCCTGGGGATACAGATGAAGGAGTTTGATAGCGGACATAATCAGTCAGGACCATTGGACGGGAGCTCACTAGACAGCCCCGATACGAGAAAAGGTTCTAATGGTTTACATATTTAATGCTCTCTTTTTAGTTTTTACCTTAACATCTCAAAATAAACAGTTGGTTCAGATCATGTCACTATACGAAAACGAGATACGAAACGAACTAATAGACCGAACCCCTGAAACACATGTAGGTACAAGAAACCATAGGGCTTCTCGAAGCGAAGAGTTAAACAGGGAACTTCCTGATATGCCAAAACCATCTAAGCACCGTCACCGCTCAATGGACGACTCTTTGGATCCTGATTCCCAAATGAAAGACTCATCAACCAAACCAAAGCGCACCAGGAGACATCGCTTACGCCGACGGTCCCAGGAGAAAGGGGACGAGTCACCAGACACAAACTTGCCCGATATCCCCAAGAAGAAGACTCGACGAAAGAAATCGAACGAAGACGGTGGCTCAACGAGATCCAAGGATAGCGAACCTTCCAACAATGAACCGAATCTTGACTGAAACAACCAAAACTCGGATTATTTTTCGACAACAAAACTCAACAATTTGGTCAGGCAAAAAAGAGAGGGAAAATGACCAAAATGAATTGGTGAAATTTGGGGTGGAAAATTATGTGTCATTCTCAATTACCTTTCTTTTCCCATCTAAATATGCACTTCCACTTTATGTGTGTTCATATAAGATTGATTTCTTGGATACTCATTTCTTGTGTTCTTCATGTATTTTGGGGTCAAATTTTGATTGTTGTAACATGAATCTATGAATAATATGTTGTTTTAGCCCTCGGGCGTGTAGTTCGTTCAGTTGTTTTATTCGGTTTTGAAATCATGTTTGATTTTTTTTACTTTAGAAAGAAAAGAAATCATGTTTGATTTGGTGTTTTTGGTTTGAATTTGATTGTTTACATCTGAACGATACTGTTTGCGTTGAATTTTCGTTTCTTTGTTTTATTGTGTTTTTGAATGAATGGGGTCGTTTGGTTTGTAGAATGGAAATGGAATCTGGCAAACGTAGGGGGCATTTGGTTCGTAGAATGAAATTTGATGGAACTGAAATTCATCAAATGAATTTGACTTTGAGGGAATGGAATGAAATCTGATGGAATTTGACCATGCCTTGTGATTGCTTTTGGTTGCATGGAATTGGATTAGGGAAGGAATCTGTAGGAAAGAAATTGAAATCCTAGCATATTGCCATGGAATTGTAAAATCTGTGCATGAAGGAATCAATTGGAATTGAAAGGATCCCATAATGTTATTCTATGAACCAAACACTCTATTTGGAATTTGGTCAAAAGATTGGACATTCCAATTCCTTTCAATTCTCATGATCCAAACAGCCACTTAGTATTAGAATGAAATAATAATAAATGACCAAAATTAAATTATACATATAATATAATGATAATATTAATCGGTGGAAGGTGAGGTGGCGGTTGTGATGTAGTCGCATGGTGGAGGGTGAGTAGGGGACGAGGCGTGACAAGTAACATGGTCGTGACAGGGGGTAGGGTGGGTGGCAGTTGGGACAATGAATTACAGTGGCGTGGTGGTAGTGGACGTGGGTGCTCAAGAGGGTGGGAAGTGTTGGTTAAATTGGATGTAAAAGAATGAAATTCGATTCTTTCACTTTATATCAAAGAATGATGAATTCATTAATTCGTAGAATTTAAATTAAATTAAATAAAGGAATCGACCATTTCAATTTCCATAAACTTCACGAACCAAACAACACCTCAGAATAGTCTTAAGGGGTGTTTGATTAGATATATTAAATAGTAATTAATGTGAATGAAAATAAAAGAAACTATTTGATTTTATTTAATATAATGGATTCATTCTCTTAGAAATCCATTTTTTTTTATTAACCTGGATATCCAACCCGCTATGTGAGCCAACTAATCTCAGGGTGACCATCTGCTTTGCAGATAGCCCGAAGTCACCGCATTTGAACCTCCGTGGCCACAAGGGGATTTTTATTCCTTCTTGGATTTGAACGGACCTCCTGATATTTTTAACTTATAAAGCCAAGCTCAAACCAATCAGACACCGGCTAGAAATCCAAATTTCCATTCAGGTTAAATTGAAACTGAACCATTCTGGTTCCTTTTCATTTTGATTCTTGTGATTGTGCGTGTAATGTTTAGTGGTATATTTAAAGCATATTATCCATTTCATAAGTATTGATCCAAAGGTATTGGATTCATTGTTAGTCACGAATTCTTTTATTGCTTGGAGGAAATTGCAGAAAAATTTAATAAACTTTTTTTTAAATGATTAAAGTTTATTTTTTTAGATAAATAATTTTTTTATTTTTTTTATTTTGTATGATTAAATCCTTGAAATTGAACCTTGTGTAGATGAATGTTCCACTACATCTTCCAAGACCTCAACTATTACGCTACAACCCTTATGGTTGTCCCTTGAACTTTTAACAGTAATCATCGGAAAATGTTTTGAAGTAAAAGAAAACCTAAATCGGGTTTACATTTCCCAAGCTTTACGTCATCAAACTCCTCAAGTCCAGTGTCATCCCTCCCTCTCACCGTCCCATCATCATACGCTCTCTATCACCGCCCATCACCACTTTTGGCCCCAACCATCGTTCTTCCTTTTTTTGATTCTTTTTTTTTTGTTTTCCGATTCTTCCTTTTTTTGATCTGTCTATTCAAACTCCGTTAAACTGTTATAGAGAAAAGGAGAACATGTTATCTCTTTGTCACTCTCGTTTTGCTTCAACATCTTCTCTTTTTTTCGATTTCTGTTTCACTTTACCTCTAGTTCTGGTTCTTCCGCCTAGTCACCGTCTTAGATCCACTAGTATCGAGAGATAATTTTGTTAGAAGATCTTCCACGGTTAAATAAAAATTACATTCTTCAGATACATTTATTTTAGAGCATCTGCAACAGATTCTTTAAAATAAAGAAAATGAAGATTTTGAGGGTTTTTTTTTATAGATTCTACAAAACCTTATGGAGAAAGTAATATTTTATTATTCCCAGTTTAAAATTTAGAGTGAATTACATTGGTGGTCTCCATGGTTTGTTCAGATTTTGGATTTGGTCTCTAAAACAAACTATTTGTATTGATGGTTCATAACTTTTCATTTTCATAACACTCATGGTCCCTTCACTTAACGACATTAGTTAGTAACCTTTATGAAAGACTAATCGGGCTTTGAACAAAGTATAGAGACCAAAAGTTTATTCTGCTCTAAATTTTAATGTAATACATGATTTTTTTTAAACCGCTCGTCGCCGCCTCCAACACCGCCATCACCATCATTACTACTGCCGACTTCACCCCCACCACCACCACCACCATAATCATCACCACCACTGCCACTACTGTTGCCGTCACTATCACCACCACTACCACCGGTGTCGCCGTCACTATCACCACCACTACTATTGTCGCTGCTACCTCCAACACCGCCATCACCATCGTTACCTCTCCGCCTTCACCCGTACCCTCATCTCCCCTGCCACCACCACCTTGTCTAGTGCCATATACACCGCTACCACCTCCAACCCACCATCGTTTTTATATTCAACGAACCAACCAGACATATTCAAGTTCTTCTAACAGACATTTTAATTTCTGCCAAATAAGTGCATGCTCAAACATAATTAAACTCCGTTTCAATTCTTTTATATTCCAATTCCAACAAATTTCATTTTGTTAATTTAACGCAATGTATAATGTAATCCGGACCCAAACTTGTGAATTTACCAATTCACCCCAACGCTTTTCCAGCATTGACAAAGTTTGACCATGGTAATTGCTATATATTTCTACTCCTCATTGCCGTATTTAATCCTTTTGAAACCGTTTGCTTCCGCGGGTTTTGCTGTTCCGACGAGCCCTAGACGCCGGAAAACAAACAAATCCAGTTGATCTCTGAATTTGTTTCTGATGGCGATGGCCGGTATATACAGAAGAGTTCTTCCATCTCCTCCTGCTATTGATTTTGCTTCTTCTGAAGGGAAGGTCAACTCTTTGCTCCGAATTTCTATCATATGTTTGAATTTAGGTTTTTGAGCTTAGTGATTTCATGTTTAATTTTGATTCTGTTATTGTTCTTTTGACTAGGATTAGGTTTTGTTTGATCTAGCTTTTGTTCCAGTGATAGTAGGGTTTGTATGATCATGCATTTGGTTTATTATAAGTGTACTAAGTTAATTATTTTTAGAGAAAACATGCTGCTATTCTCTTAAGTAAAAGGAGCTACACTTTGACCTTGAGGTGTCTAGAGATCAGATGGATTGCTTATTAGTTTCAGAGTTCTTTTTGTTGTTGTAGATTTTAAGCTTTTCAAGAAGAAATAAGCGAACTAGATTTATGTTTATAACAACAATACACATAACATTATTGATGGTAAATGTGCGACGTCCATATCAATTTTGCATTAGAGGAGTACTAGGATTGACATCAAAATCAGTTGAGGATTACTATAACTGACTGAAAATATAAGAATCACAGGTTATGGTTTGTATGGTTAAGAAAACGTTTTCACTGAACCAAAAATATTGCCGGTTTCTTACAACTCAACTATGTATTTGTTTTGAATTTGCAGCAATTGTTCATGGAAGCCACTCAAGGTGGAACCATGGAAGGTTTCTTTAAGTTGATTTCTTACTTTCAGACACAATCTGAACCTGCCTATTGTGGATTGGCTACCCTCGCCATGGTTTTGAATGCACTTTCTATTGATCCGGGTAGAAAATGGAAAGGTACATTTCGTTGTCTGTTGTACTGAGATTTATTATTATGTGATAACTTTGATCCATTATGATGTTATGGTAAGTGCCAAGTATAACAAGGTTATGAAAACTAGTGATGTGCCTTTTGGCATTTTTCAAGTTTTGGCAGCAATGAATAATTGAGAAAAAAAAACTATGTTTTCTCTAAGCCAAGCTCTTGCTTGATAACCGAACCAAGAGTAGAATGGGGCTTGAATTGGAACCCGCAATAGGTTCTCGTTGAGGTCCCCAAAGCAAGATCGATGCCCTGCAAGTACTCTATCGATTGAGTGAAAGCAGAAAGACAAAACCTGATTGAACCAATGATCTTCAGGAACACACTCAATACCAAATCCTAGGCTACTGAATGACCCTGTAGAAAACAAACCCCAAAAATTGCATCCAAATTTTCAGAATCTTGTTTGTCAAACTGTCCACAATGCCTTGGCCTTTGTTTCCAAATTCTGATTAATACATGACTGCTTAATCATGACAGAGAAATGGGAATATACTGCCCCATTGAGGTTGTCCTTGGCTCGTCGCTTTCATGCAACAGTTTCCAACTTCATGATAACACAAATCATTAATTGTTTGCAGGTCCCTGGAGGTGGTTTGATGAATCTATGCTGGACTGTTGCGAGCCTTTGGAGAAGGTTAAAGCCGAAGGCATTTCCTTTGGGAAGGTTGTATGTTTGGCTCATTGTGCTGGAGCAAAGGTTGAAGCTTTTCGCACAAATCAAAGCAGTATTGATGAATTCCGCAAGCATGTTATTGCATGCTCTACTTCTGATGATCGTCATGTGATCTCATCATATAACAGAGCGACTTTTAAACAGGCATGTTTTTAACCTTGCCATCTGTTGGATTCCCAAAAAGAAAAATTTAATCTAGGCCCTATGTTAGTAGAGAGGATGCAAGAGGAGACGATGTATGTCCTAGAAATAAATCAGGATTGTTGAAGGAAGGAGGATTCTGCAGGATAGTTTAGAGAAGGTTGACATATTCAGGAAATGAATTTAATAGAGATGGGATGCCAATAATATCAATGTTGGTTTGAAACTAGCAAATGTGGAATCAGGCCAAAGTAGTTGTGGTAGAGAACTAATGCTTTTCCACCCGAGATTGGGGCATTTGTATGTGCTTGTGTTGCTGTTGCCTTGATGCAATTGACTGGCCATTGGACAAGGATGTTTTCATCCTTTTTAGTATATCTTACTATCTTTCAATCGTAAAGGTCTTTGAAATCTATTGGATTTCTGGAAATTAAATATCTATTGAACTGCATTTGACCCCACTACTGTTATTCATAATTGAAGTTGCTGATGGAAGTGCTTTATTATTTTGATTCTATTGCAGACAGGTACTGGCCACTTTTCACCTATTGGTGGTTATCATGCTGGAAGAGACATGGCATTAATTTTAGATGTTGCACGTTTTAAGTATCCTCCTCACTGGGTTCCACTTAAACTACTTTGGGAAGCTATGGATACGTTGGATGATGCTAATGGATTTCGCAGAGGGTAAACTTTGTGCATCCTTTCTCTCTCTCTCTCCAATCGTGCACCATGACAGATGGGTGGTTAGTCACTTAGTGTCATTTGTTATTTTCATTCCCTGCATTTCTTGGTGTCGAAGCGACTGGCTGACTGCCCAGGAACTTTTTTCATTTTTTCAAAATATTAGCACTTTTTAAAGTAGTAGAGACTAATTTTCTTGTTGAATAGATTGAATATATGAGATTACTTCTTGCAGCGTCTGCTAGATATGCTACTTTCTGGACCTGCTGCTTGTTTTTATCTTATACTAGTGTATGTGTTTGTGTACTTGTGCAGACTGGGTAACTCCTCTAGTCTGACAGTAAATCATTTTAATCTGATTCTTTCTTCGTTTCTTTCAGTTTCATGCTAATATCCAGGCTTCAACGACCACCAGCACTACTTTATACCCTGGTACGTTCAAGCAGTTTATTTCATGTTTCATGCAGAGGTTCCTCACTTAAATATGTGACTGAATGGTGAATCTGTGAGCTTTCACAATCTTATAGAATATTTGTCGATTGTTTGTGTGAGATAATCAATGTGTAGATCATAATTACCCTGTACACAGTTGTTATGACTAGATTTTACATCTCGTTGTAAATTATTTTTGATAAAAAGGTAGTTGAACCCACTGTGTCTAAACTTCTAGAGTTGATTGTAAATTATTTATGAAAAAAGGTAGATAAGCCCATCTCTACAGTTGATCTTTTCCTCCTTGGGAGAAGTGGAGGGGCAAGAGGGTTATCATTATTATTCGACTTAGAGCAATAAATTTCCAGCCTTTGTATTTAAAGAAGCCCCAATCTCAAATTTTTATAAAGGTCCATTTAGAACAATTCTTGAGGCATCTTCATTGGTCGTCCTCTAAAAAGATGTGCATCTTTAGTTAGCCGTTGGGGCATACAACAATGCATATGTGCTGCCGAAATTAGAATGCAATGATTAAGCAAGTGAATTGTAATCACATACTTGATGCATTGCAAATCCAATCTTAGAACCCCAAATGGAAGAGCACATGTTGGAGAGGAGAATGGGTGCCCAACTTTTCAGTCCAAAGCGAAGGTGTAAATGTTAAAATATATGATGTGCGCACATGTTGGCCTGTTTTAGAACAAAGATTTCCGTTTTTGATCTTATATTATTGTTGTTGCTGTGTACATTCACTATGCATAAAACTGGAATATTTTGCTGTTGCAAGCTTGGACAGATTTTGACGTAGTATGTTGAAAATTGTTTCAGAGTTGTAAGCATGAAAGTTGGGTTAATGTTGCAAAGTATTTGGTGGAAGATGTTCCAGTATTATTGAGTTCTAAAAATGTGAAAGATGTGAAGGATGTTCTTTCCATTGTTTTCAATTCTCTTCCGTCAAAGGTTCTTGAATTTATCAAGTGGGTTGCAGAAGTTAGGAGAACAGAGGAGGGTGATCAAAGTTTAAGTCCCGAAGAGCAAGAAAGGCTTGCTATCAAGGTATCTTATTGCCATGAACCAAGTAAACAACACCCCAACACTCTCCGGTGTGATAAGATTTTGTGTTACAATTTCCGACACTTGATAACCTAGAGGCTAGAGCATCTCCAATAGGTTCTACAGTTCCTCCAAAATAGAGAAACGAAAGTTTCAAATCTCAAAAGAGAGTAAATTATTTAATAGATTTAATCTCCCAAAAAACTTTCATATAAAAAAGTGTAAATTACGATTTTGGTCCCTGTGATTTGTTAATAATTTCTTCTTTCCTTGAGGTTTAGAAATTGCGATTTTCGTCCCTATGATTTGTATTTTATTGCTATTTTCGCCCCTAGACTAATTTCTATCTTTAAAGTACAAGAGACCAAAATAGTAAAGAATTGCAAACCACATGGACTGAAACAACAATAAATTGTAAATTGTAAGGATGAAAATAACAATGAATTACTAACCATAGGGACCAAACCCGTGATTTCTAAACCACAGGGATGAAAATCGCAATATTTAACAAACCACAGGGACGAGAAACATAATTTACTCTATAAAAATGATAATACATTCAAGTTAATTGGTGGAAACAATTAAAAAAACATATATCTCATCAGCATTTAATTTTGGAAAGCTCTCAAAATTTGGAGATTTCCATCATCTCTCGTACTTTTTCCATTTTGGAGAAAGTTTTGGAGTATCTGTTGGAGCAAAAAAAATAGTTTAAGAACTCCAAAATCTCCATTTTTTTCCATTTTGGAGAATCTGTTGGAGATGCTCTTACATTTTATGCTATTTCATATAGGGGGAGATACTGAAACAAGTTCAGGACACTCGTCTATATAAACACGTGACGGATTTTCTGTTCAGTACGAAATCCGGTTGCCACAGCACACTCTGTTTGGGTAAAGAAACCAGTTTGACCGATGTTGCAGCTAGCGTATGTTGCCAGGGAGCGGGGATTCTGAAAGGAAACAGTGAATCCCCTAACGGGTTTTGCTGTGGGGAAACACATGTTCATTGCATAAAATCCACCGGAAACGTGCCGGCTACAGTTGTGTCGGGGACAGTGACGAATGGCATTGGTGAACAACATGTGGATATGTTGGTCCCTTCATCTGCCAAAAATTTAAGTCCCTCCAGCTCGGGATTAACTAGTTGCATTGGAATGCACCCAGCTAGCAATGATGTTCTCACAACACTTTTACTGGCTTTGCCACCACAAACCTGGTCTGGTATCAAAGACGATAGCTTGTTCCAGGAAATTAAAAGTCTGGTTTCTATAGACAACCTTCCCACTTTTCTTCAAGAAGAGGTACAAATCACAATTAACACATTAACTTCTCTTTTCGTGTCTTTGTTTGATTGTAGACTTGGTAGTTTTAAGTAGTTAATGGACTTTAAGATGTTGATTTAGGCCATGTTTGGCAACCATATAAGCAAGCTTATTTTTGATCTTATTGAAAAAGCCGTGTTTAATAAGCCATTAGCTAGCTTTTGAAAAGCTACTTCAGATAGCTTATTGGGTTTTCTTTTCACTTTTTTTCCAATTATGGCCCGAATAATTTTCTTTTGGATCATTTTATTTCGTCATCTATTGATGGACTTTAAGATGTTGATCTAGGCCATGTTTGGCAATCGCAAGCTTTATTTTTATCTTATTGAAAAACCATGTTTGATAAGCCATAAGCTAGCTTTCGAAAAGTATTGGGGTTCTTTTTTCACCTTTTTTCAATTATGACCCTTGTAGCTTTTTTGTGGTTCATTTTACATTGTCATCTAGGAGTATTGGGGTTCACTTTTTTTCAAGTATGCCCCTTATAATTTCATTTTGGGTAATTTTATATTGTCATCTAGCTTAACAACTAGTGTGTTGTTTTATGTTGATGATGGACTTTAAGATGTTGATCTAGGCCATGTTTAGCTTATTCTTATTGAAAAAGCCTCATTTGATAAGCCATAAGCTTCAGTAGCCATAAGCTAGCTTATTTTTTCATCTTATTGAAGAAGTCTTGTTTCATAAGCCATAAGCTATCTTAGTTTTTTTATCTTATTGAAGACGTTCTGTTTGGTAAGCCATAAGTTAGCTGATTTTTTGATCCTATTGAAGAAGTCTCGTCTCATAAGCCAGCTCTGAACAAGTATCCTTTTGCATGGCAGATTATGCACTTGCGCAGTCAGCTCCACTTTCTAAAACGATGCAAAGATGACGAGGTAGAGGAAGATCTTTCTGCACCCTCCTTTTAGCATATCCTTCACCATCTGGATATCAATCAATTCACTTGTAATAATATATTCGATCAATAAACCATTTTTCCTCCCTCTAAAATGGGCAACACATGTTACAACGATTATGGAAAAACGCTATATATCTATTCCTCTCTTTGTTTTAGGTCAAACATCAAGATACAAGCGACAAGGCGATGGTCTTCCTACATGGATCAAAGTCAAACCTGCATAATCAAGGTAAGTTGTCGTTATTGGGACAACAACGGTCCCTTGGTTGTTGTAGCAGACTTGCAGACAGATATGAAAGGCTAGATCGGGTTTCTGGTGGTATTAAGCGGATTATTACATGGCCTAAACCAATTGCTTATGCGTCTATAAGGTCTATATTTTCCGTCAATTATCTATCCCGTTAGTTAAGAAGACGGTGTAGGGTTGATGTTGCCAAACAGACCGATCGGTTAACTTTTTTGATCGATTATAGTCGGACTGTTTGGTATAATCTTGTGAAAATGTAATTTTTTTTATATTAAAAATAGGGATTTTGATTGTCAAATGAAATTTGCGTTACGGTTTATGCCTATTTTGCACAGCTGCCGCCACCACCAACGGTGGTAAGGTAGCAACCATTGTCTTGGGACCTATTTGTTAACAAGTTAATAAGTTTAATGGGAACGTATAATTGTTTAATAGTGGCTTAATGAGATAGAATGTGACTTATTTAATAAGCTTCTAAAGAGAAGTTTTATGTAAAAAGCCAAGTATTTTCCAAACATGCTTCAACCATCTATTAAAAACCCTCCCAATATTATGCAGACAATAATCCATACAATAAGTATTATTCATATATGACTTGATAAAAAACAAACCAAACAGCCTCTTAGCTAGGGGGTGCAAAACCCAAATGGTCATAAAATCATAACCGAATATCCCGAAACATAAAAATCTGAAACCCGACTTTTGGGGGAATATTTGGGTTTGGGATATATATAGAAATAATGAGAATTTATTTATTATATGATTTGGATATTTATGAAAAATAATTAGAGTTTATTTATTATGATTTAACACTTAATATTAAGAAATAATCGAAATTATTCATTGAATCATATATTCATTAGACTAAATAAATTGGTTTATATGATTTATATTAATGGTTGGATTTTGTAAATGAAACCACCTTCATATATAAAATTCTTAAATATTATATAAATTATTCTAAGCGGCCATACTTTTTTTCTAGTTTTTAAACCTACCATCTTTCATTAATCTTGTCAATTGATTAAATCCATCCTCAAAAATATGTACTTTTTGTATATAACTATACCCGAACCCGACCAACCCCAACCCAAAGCAATCTGACACCCAAAATTTTGGGCTTTTGGTTTATCCACCCAAACTTGCCCGATGCACACCGGCATCTCTACTGATCAACAATACAAGTATTGCTGGCTATATAAAGTAAACCACCCATATTTCCAAGTGAAAATTGTGATCACAAATGTTTTGGTTTTATTCAATTTCGTAGCATAAATTTGCCAAAATTTGGAAATTCAATACATCTCCAACCACTATTCCTGCTGTATTTATTTTCCAGAAAAGTGAGGAAAAAAAACCTGCCGGAGAATTACACAATCGAAGTAACAAAAGAATCGAAACATGCAAGTGGTATACTTTTACGCTGATTTAAGTGCTTTAACTGCTTTCTCGGCTGCATCATCCAGATCCTCTGCCGTGATCAGCGTCATCCCACTTTCCTGTATATCCAAACGCGTTGTTAGACTTTTACGTTTCATTACCATCGTTATTACATAATTAATGAATCTTTAGAAGATTTGATGATAAGAAAGTGCAAATATACCTTGAGAATCCTCTTCCCTTGATCAACATTTGTGCCTTCAAGACGAACCACGACCGGCACCTTCAACGCAACCTGGGAGCAACCAAAAACGTTGGATCATTCCAGTACAACAACCAAAAAAACCACAAGGGTTGTGACGTAGTGGTTGAGGTGGAATATTCCCTCTGCCCTGGGTTCAATTCCAGGTGTCCACAACAATTGCGGCTACTGACTTTATCAGGGCTGATCTTTTACGGTAGTAATTTTCCGGTAGTAGTGCCCAGGGCACCCTACCAGAAAAACAACATAAAAGTTGGAACACACCTTGAGGGTTAGCTCCCTAGCAATAAGCTCCACCTCATAGGTCACCGGTTCGAGTCCAGACCACTGGGGATTTTTCTGGCCATTTCTCCAGGGCCCATGGGATTAGTCAAGGTGCACGAAAGCGGACCCCGACACCCATGGTTACCAAAAATAAGTTGGAAAACCTCCCAGAAGGATGGATGCAAACTGGCGAGTCCCTCCAAATCCACTGGAGATTTTCCTGACTGAGATTAGTCGAGGTACACAAAGCGGGTCCAGACCCCATGGCCACCAAAAATAAGTTGGAAAATCTAATACAAGGATGCATACTAGTGAGTCCGTCCAAGTCCAAGTCACTAGAGATTTTCCTAGCTGTTCTCCAAGGGCCCATGAGATTAGTCGAAGTGCACAAAAGCAGGCCCCAACACCCATGCTTACCAAAATAAGTTGGAAAATCTAACAAAAGGATGCATACTGGTGAGTCCCTCCAAGTCCACTGGAGATTTTCCCAACTGTTCTCCAGGGGCCCATGTGAATAGTCGAGGTGCATGAAAGCAGGCCCGAACACCCACGGGTACAAAAAAAGTTAATAAATCTAACAGAAGGATGCAAACTAGTGAGTCCCTACAAGTCCACTGGAGATTTTCCTGGCAGGAATTAGTCGAGGTGCGCGAAAGTGGGCCGGACACCCGCGGTTACCAAAAAAAAGTTGGAAAATCTAACATAAGGACGCAGTGGTAATGAATGTGACAAAGACTCACATGTTTAGCAGCGTTTACGATCCCGCTAGCTATCACGTCGCATTTCATTATCCCTCCGAAAATGTTTACCAATATTGCTTTCACTTTCTCATCTGATGTCAAGATCTTGAAAGCCTCAACAACCTGCATTTTTTTCGGAATTACTATGTGCTGATAAAAAAAATCCTTCAATCAAATTTTCACTTTTTACAAGTACTTGCCTGTCCTTCAGAAGCATTCCCACCCACATCAAGGAAATTGGCAGGGGTTCCTCCATGTAACTTTATGATATCCATGGTGGCCATTGCCAATCCAGCGCCATTCACCATGCATCCAATTTCCCCATCCAAACCAATATAATTTAAATCTGCTTTCGCGGCTGCAACCTGTTGGAAGCAAGTATTAGAGACGGACCTGGAAAATTTTTCAAGTGGTGGCACCATTTGACTATAAGAAACAAATATAGGGATATGTTTCACAAATTCATCATTCTTGTTGGTTAGTTCATTGCTTTTCATATGTAATCATAATAAATCTGAAATTAAAAGCTAAAAACTAAGAAAATAACACTAATAGGATTCGAACTTGGGTTTGGGGTTGAAGAAAAGCCTTACAAACCAACTCTACCAAAAGAAACTTGTGTCCTTATTGTAGTTTCAAAATATATACGGTGGCACTTTTCATGACTATAAATTTTTACACTACGACAGAGGAATAAAGCGGTGGCCCTTGCCACCATATCCGCTACACTGGGTCCGTCCCTGACAAGTATCACGGGAATAACATTAATCACATCTTACTAGTTATGTCTGGATGAGGGACAGGATGGGACAAGATAGAATAAAAAATTGTTGTTCCATGTTTAGCACGGGAGTGGGACAAGATTGGTAAATTACTAAACTACCCATGTCAAATTAAACCCCAAAACCTTCCACAATTCTTTTGCCCGCCTGCCCCACTCTCATCATCCAGTTCTGTCCCGTCAAGTCAGTCCTATCCGGCTGCTTAGCAAACGCTCCCTCACTGGTTAATTGAACCCTTATAGCCTGCAACTTTCTTAGCTTTACACTCTTGATGGTTTTGTGGTCTATTTCCCTCCTTGCCACATAAGTTTGTGTCAATTTGTCAAATTTTTGTTATGAACTGGAATCCAAATCAGTAAAGAACAGATAATGAAGATGAAAACAGACTAATCAGATGAATGCTTAAATGGAAAACAAGGTACACTCTAGCATTCGAGAGACTAGCACTGCCATAGACCACTCACTAAGTTTCTGCATTCCCTACACCACCTACATCAACCCTCTTTATACTAATATTTATTCTCAGAAATACCTAAATTACCCCTTCTTAACTGTTCTACAATATCACTTAGGAATGGGCTTGGGCCTCTAGATGGGTGTATGACATTACCCCACCCCCATTGAACCACCTTGTCCTCAAGGTACATAGAAAAAATAACATAACTCATGTTGCCCTGTTAAACTTCTCCCCATTTCCAATCATTGATTTTTTTTCTAGAATATCACTTAGGAATGTGCTTGGGCCTCTAGACGGGTGTATGACAATTTTATGCCAGTAAAAATATGTTATTTGTTCTCCAATTTCTTTCAGATAATGATAATATTAACAGAAGTAAAGAAGTCCCTTCATATTTATTCAGACACAATGGACTAGCTATACCTCACGAGGATCTTCCTGTGAAGGATCACGTAGAGCAAAAATCTCTTTCTGACGGAAAGCAGCATTATCATCGAAGTTTAGCTTAGCATCAGCAGCTACCAACTTGTTATCAGAAGTCTCTGCAATCGGATTGATCTGAAGGGGAAGATTGAACTTGACACCAAAATACGGGAAGTGAAAACAAAGAAATTAAGCCACAACTTCTGTTAATACTCACCTCCAACTGTGTGCAATCAGATTCGCGGAAAAGGTTATACAACTTCTTCACCTGTTCTATAGACGCATTTCTGTCGGCCACCTTAGGAGCAAGACCATCTACAACCTTGGCAGCATCTTCATCTGTAATTCCTTTGAAAACATCAATAGGTACCTGTGAAAAGTTAAATTGGTCAAACAGAACAAAAACACCAAACAAAGATAGGAAACATGAAAAACCTCCAAAGAGAACCAATTTGTCAAAATAAGGCGTACTTTTATGATCATGTCGGGAAATTTCTCTGCAAGGTCTTCAATGCTGGTTCCTCCCTCTCGGCAAGCAATGATAAGCTGAAGTATGGAAGGCCCGGTAAGCACCATTGCAAAGAGTATAATATCTTGGCTTGAAAAATGCCATGCACAGCAGAATTTTCAACGGATCCTCTTATAAATAACTATATATATAGGAGAGAGAGAGTCTAAACCGTTTGCAAACCCTCTAACTGCTACAAACCATACAAACCAAACAATTGAGATATATATGTTAAATGATGGGGGTTCATTTATTATGATCGAGATATTTATGTAAGATGATCAAAGTTCATTAATTAAGATCAACGTTTTAAATTTGAAAACAATCGAGATATTTATGGAACCATATATTCATTAGCCTAGATGGATGGTTGAGATTGGTTTGTATGGTTTGCAACAATCAGAGGGTTTGCAAATGAAGGGGACAATATATATAACGATAAAAATATAGGTGCATCTGCGCAAGTACTAGCAAACATTGTTGAGAACAAATCATTGTAGAATCTGTAATTTCCCAAGAAAAAGAAGAAGCTTACAGGGCCAGCAGTTGTACGGTCAAGAGTGATTGCGAAGTACATTTCATTCACAAGTGATACCTTTTCACACAGGTAAACCTGCATCAGGAATACGGCACACATTAAGTTTTAGATACTGGAATGGAACTTTTTGATAACTTCTGCATTATGGCACACAAGTTTCCAGAAGATATCTCAGTATGTTACAGAAGAACTTTCACATCCTAGAGAGGCTAGGACTTCAAATTTTCGAAGATGACCAGCCCATAATTATAAGAGACAACCTTCACTCGTCAGACTGTGACTGCTTTTCATACTTCATCAGCAAATTTTGTAATAATCTTTATTTATAGTTCACTAACCTACCTTTGAGATTAGGGCCTTAAGGAGCTTCATCTATCAGGCGAGCATCTCAGATATGAACTTATTTGAGGATGAAAATATGCCAAACTCGGTCAGGACTCAGGAGTCAAACCTAATGTAACGAATCCACACCCAAATGATTCTAAATAACTGAAAATCCAATCTAATTTCAACCTGGTTTGAAGATTCAGATAAACAAAGGATTTCGAAGAATATTATTGTCCATGAGTATATGGATAGTTGTCATGTAGTCCAACCTGGCTTGAGCCAGATGCTCAGCTCCAAGCATATATAATCCATAGCAATTTATAACAAGACAGTTGGCCTTGACTCAATCCAAGCCCATGTTCAGCTCTTTTGAGGTTTGACTAAGCTCAAATGGTGAGTTCCTACAAGCTCATTGTTTCTATACACAAATGAAAAGTATGAATATTTGTAGTCTATGAACAAATAATATGTATCACGATGCATCCATAATAAACATATATGCAATTCACAATTCATTTAGCCCCAATGTCAAACCGAGCTTATGATTAATGAGCAAAAAACCCGTTGTATCGACACAAAGACCCTTACTGACTGCTAACCTAGACTTAGTGAGCCAACTAGTATCAGTTAAAGGTATTTATGCAAAAACTATAGTCCCACTCCATTGATTGTTGGTTGAGAATGAAGAAATTAACCTAAAGGCTAAAAATGGGTTTATGGAACTTACAAGAATTCATAGTAATAAAATATAAACACGATAAAATGTAAAAGACACATCTATTGGTCATTCCATCACATTGCAAACTTGCAATTATTATCCTCCATCTAGTGATTATTCGACATTACTATTGTAGGTCTTTCTAAATTCTGAGCTTCAAAAGTTCTTTGAAGATCTAATAATATCCAGGTCTACATGTATGACTACTTCTCATAAAGTGATAAAAATTGTCAGGGCATTAATTTAAGATGCTAAGCTATGACAAAGCACGATCTTGTAAGAGGGATCTTGGGACAACTCAACTATGAAACACAATCATATATCCTATGCATACATAAAAAAGTGACAACCTCCATAAGAAGATAACGTCTGAGCAAAAATATTTCCCAAAGCAGATAACATTTGTAATAAGATGAATGAGAATATAAAGGCGACCTTGCTGACAACTTTGCCTTGGGGGCCTGTTTGTTTAGTGACAAGAGTCTGCCCAAGCATCTTCCCTACAAGAACAACCAAAAAAAGATCATAATTAATCCATCAGTAAGTAAAAAAACATTTTCCGTATGTAACGATAGCCCATCATTGGTCAAATCTGCTATAAATATCCAATAACAAAACTCCTACATTGTCCTTTGTATCAAGCTCTGCATAAAGAGAAAAAGAGAGACATACACTTTCAACTCTCACCGATCAATGTACAAAATTGCTTTTTTGGGGGGGAAATGTTGTAAGAGGGTATAGATAACAAAAGCTAGAACTATTTTATTCCAAATTCAGTTCCATTAAATCAGCATCAATGAAGGTGGGAGGAAATTGAATCTCATACCAGCTATCTCTTCAGCCTGATCAATTTTGACAATGTGAACTCCACCCTGGAGACCACTTGTGAACTTCCCTAGGCCCCGTCCACCAGCAAGGATTTGACTCTTAACCACCAACTGAAACGAAAGAAATTAACGCTGCTTATATAGACGCACAAACAGATGTTTCACCCAGTAGAGTACCACAGTGGGCTTGCTAGGCCTCACAAATTTTCTTTTCTAAACACAAGGTAAATTGCCAAAGGTTACCTCCTTTTCGTTGGGAAATGTTGTTTGTATGGCCTTTCTAACTTCCTCAACAGAAGAAACAGCAACGCCTTTCGGAACATTAATACCATACTTGCCCATCAATTCAGCTCCCTGATTTCAAAATGCTTATGAGTAAATGACTGAATAAAATACATAGCATGTAAATTATATGTGTTCAGTTATGTCGTTCAATGCTGTAACGCCCCAATCCCTACTTCGGGTGCCGTTACCTTCTATTGATACTACTAAGTCTTGTATATGAACTTGAAATTTAACTTTATTTATATAACTTAGCTTTATGATTACAACAAAGTTCAAATACTAGAGGAAACATAACTCAATAGCTTATAATGCAACATAATTTTGCTATTGATTAGAACAATACTTCTTCATTCCCTGCGATACATACATGAGATACTTAAGCTAAAAGCTCAATGAGTAGTTATGGGTTCATGAATAAACAATGTTCATGATGTTTAACATTTTTGTGAATAGTAATTCACTAAATCTCTTGATCATGCACAAAATAATCTTTTTATAATGCATAAACATTCTTTTGAGATCTCACATGAAACATGTAAGTATGCCATACTTGTCTTGAGGTTTGCTAACCCCCGGGTCCATAAAGGCTCCCCATAAGGTCCGTTTGCAAGACATCCCTTCTTGTAATATCCCGTACTTTGGATATTTATGGTCATTATATACATGTATCATAACATGTAAACACTTTCATACCTTGGTGTAAAACAAATACTTGTATCAAAATGTGCCATCATGCATATCTTGAATATATATGAATATATAACATTTTCATGTAAGGCAAACAAGTCAAAATATCTTGAAATGTATAAAATACTTTTATATAGCATGTATGTACCTCATAGATCTCATAAGTACTCATCTTGCTTATGCCTAGCTTTTCCCTTAATTCTTTTCTTCAGCTTGATTATGTATAAAAAGTGAGATTTCTTATTTTTGGTATGGAGCTAATAGTAACACTTCAACCCCTATTTATAGGTAATTTATTGCATTAGCTACTTGTTATTTTTGCTCCCAGAATTGAATTGTACTCTTACGAGAGTTTAAGACCTCATTTTTTAGGATAAGAGAATCTTCACACCTCATGCTTAATATAAAAGAATCTTGATACATCATGCTTCTAGCTCTTGTTTATCATCATGAATTTTGCCAAAACATGCTTCTAGCCTTGGCAACTTATAACTAGCTTGCTTTGTCATGCTTACTAGACTTGCTTAGTCATCAAATGGCTTTCCAACACATACTTCTAGCCCTTACAACACAGCACTTCAGGTCTGATTTCCCATGCTTTGCCTTGTAAGCTACTTATAGACTACTTGCCTTGAAAATATGATAATTTAATAAATGCTACAGCTGCTGGCACCCTTTTTAGAGTACTTCAATTACTCACAATATTTGTATTCAAGGCTTAAGACATAGTAGTTCAACAAATATGAAACTAGGGTGTTACATATGCACTACCACCATTGAAGTTTATCGTCTTAGAGGAAGAGGATAAGGTTATGTAGGCACATGCCTAAACACAGTATAGAAGAGCATGCATCAATACATGACAAAGGAGGAAGGCCTTGCCAGCTGATGCATTTAATCTAGCTATTCCGATGAAAATGTAATTTCTTTGGTTTTCATTCTTAGCCTAACCCGACTAATTTGGGATAATATAACTTGTAAATGCAGTATAAAGGGGTCGGCAATGAAAATCCCCCCCCCCCCACAATTTTTTATTTTTTGGCACATCTCTAGTAATTTACTTTATAATACACAGATGTGGAGTTCAAACTTAGGACCTCTAGATTATCCTTTATAAGTCCCGACCAATTGGGCAAGGGCATTGCAAAGTTGCATTCACTCGCTAATCACTAATTCATAACATTTCAGTTTATGATATTAATCAGAACAGAAGGAAGACATTCATATAGGCCAGCAAATAAAAATAGAGGTATGCCACTTGGGCAACATAAGAAGTGAAATTCACTAATATGGCAAACCATTTATGTGCTTGTAAGATTTCTCCATCACCAACACTAAAATCCATCTTACCATCTTATTTTTTTTATGTTTTCAAATTTTCATGTGCAACCAACTGATTGATTTTGCTTGAGCATGAAGTTGTTGCGTGTGAAGCCTCTTATTAGGCTGGTCAAAAAGGGTAGTGCCAGAAAACAAGAAACCAGTGTGTAAGGACCATGTTTTTGAGTGATTGATGGACAGCCATACTTTGTGTGGCTGATGGACAGCCATACTCTGTGGCATGCTTTATGGTTCCCTTGATTGACCTGTTAACATTTCCATCTCTATATAAGAGATTACTCTGTATTTGTAAAAGACAACATAGAAGAAATAAACACTCCTAGTTACCTGTGTGTGGATGTAGGTCAGATTAGACTGAACCACCTTAAATTCTTGTGTTCTTGATTGTTACTGTTTGAGAGAACAGAGTGTGTGTGTTCGTATGATACTTGTCTGATCCCAACAACTGGTATCAGAGCTTTGGCTCTCTATTGATACATACGAACAGAGAAGGTGAAGGAACTTACCCTGTTGGAAGAAATCAAGACTAGGGTGTGGACGCCATCACCACCAGCTCCCRTTCATCGCACCGGCCGCCGCCGCCGTCTGAAGTCGCCGCCGCTGCTACCTTACCCTCTCTCTTCGCAGCAGCAGCTGCCGCCTTCTGGCAGAACGAAGAAAAAAAAGGAGTTTTTTTTTTGGGGGAGAAAGAGAAGTGCAGGGAGGTTTTTTTTTTAAAGAAAAGAAAAAAAAAAGGGAGCCTTTTGCTTGGTGGAACACTGGAACGTGAAAAACAGAAAGGTAAAAGGGAGTGTGTTCTTTGCTTGACCTACTTGATTGCAAAGAAAAGAAAAAAAAAATTAAAGGTGTCCCCACAAGTTTTTTTTTACAAAAGAAGTCCCTCACACTTGCATCAAGATCTTCTTACAAGTTTATCGCCATTTAACACGTGAAATAGAAAAGTCTCGTTTTTTCTATTTTATTGCTTCCGCTCGTATAAGTGCCATTTTTGCAGTACGAACCTGTTTGGTTAGTAGCAATTTGGTAATTTGTTTGTTAAAATGGCAGAGGACAGTAAGATCAAGATTGACAAGTTTGATGGTAGTGATTATGGGTTTTGGAAAATGCAAATTGAAGATTTGCTGTATCAGAAAAGTTTGCATTTACCTATGTTGGGTGAACAACCGGATGACATGTTCRATGATGAATGGAAGTTGTTGGACAGACAAGCTTTGGGGGTGGTTAGGCTTTCTTTGGCAAAGAGTGTTGCGTATAACATTGTCAATGAAACAACTACGTACGGTGTATTGAAAGSTTTGTCCAATATGTATGAGAAACCATCCGCTTCAAACAAAGTGTTTCTCATCCGACAATTGGTTAACACCAAGATGAAGGAAGGTATGTCGGTTGCAACTCACATAAACGAATTCAACTCGATTATCTCTCGTTTAGCCTCTGTTAAAATAAAGTTTGAAGATGAAGTACAAGCTCTTCTTCTTTTATCATCTTTGCCCGACAGTTGGTCAGGCACAGTCACAGCCGTTAGTAGTGCATCCGGTACTGCTAAGCTAACATTTGATAGCATTCGTGACTTGATTTTAAATGAAGACATTAGAAGAAGAAGTAATGGAGAATCTTCCAGTTCTAGTTCTCTGTTACATACAGAAAGTAGAGGAAGAAGGAATGATAGAGGACAAAATCGAGGCAGGTCAAAATCCAGAAAAAGGGGGCAGTCCAAGAACCGAAAGGATATTGAATGTTGGAACTGCAAAGAAAAAGGTCACTTTAGAAACCAATGCCCAAAACCACATGCTGCAAAGAAAGAAGTAAACAATATATCMTCTGAARAATCAGGAGATTTTCTCATATGTTCTGTTGAGAATTCAGTAGAATCCTGGATTATGGATTCGGGTGCTTCTTTCCATGCTGTCTCATGCCCAGAAATGGTCAAGAACCTGCAAACAGGTAATCTTGGCAAAGTTCGTTTGGCCGATGATCAAGTGTTTGATATTACGGGTATCGGAGACGTAGATTTGAAGACCTCCATGGGAACCACCTGGACATTGAAAGATGTCAGGGTTATTCCAAACTTGAGGAGGAAGTTGATTTCTGTTGGTAAGTTGGATGATGAAGGGCTTAATGTTCACTTTGGGGGTGGACATTGGAAAGTGATCAAAGGCAACTTGGTGATTGCCAAAGGAAAGAAGAAAGGCACTCTATACATGGTTGAGATACCTTGTGATGGTGTTCATACCGTAACCACCAATCCGAGTCCATCAAATTTATGGCACCAACGACTCGGACACATGAGCGATAAGGGATTGAAGATGTTGGCTCAGAGAGGGAAGTTTCCAGACTTGAAGAAAGTCGAAACTGAATTTTGTGAATCCTGTGTTCTCGGGAAACAAAAGCGGGTTACTTTTGCGAAGACAGGGAAGACACCAAAAGCTCAGAAGTTGGAGCTTGTTCACTCGGATGTATTTGGGCCAACACCAGTTTCATCTCTAGGAGGCAAAAACTACTATGTAACCTTTATCGATGACTCAACACGCAAGGTATGGGTCTATTTTCTTAAAAATAAATCTGATGTATTTGATACTTTTAAGATATGGAAATCTGCTGTTGAAAATGAAACTGATTTGAAGGTAAAATGTCTGAAGTCGGATAATGGTGGTGAATACATAAGCAAGGAGTTTGTCAACTATTGTGCCAAGCAAGGGATAAAGATGATCAAAACGGTCCCAGGAACTATGCTGTTAAAATCGCGATATATCGGCGATATATCGGATATCGCTCCAAAAAAAAAAATCGGAACTCAAATATCGGGAACGATATTATCGGCGATATTTTCCGATATTTAGCGATTTTTAGCGATATTTAAGCGATTTTTTGGGCTGATAACTTAAATTAGATCTGAATCTTTCCACAACGTCTTCTTCTTCTTCACGTTCAACTTCAGTCTCGACTTCTTCACGTTCAACTTCAGTCTCGACTTCTTCACGTTCAACTTCAGTCTCGACTTTTTCTTCACAAATCACACTTCGACTTCAACTTCAGTCTTCAGACTTCGACTTCGACTTCGACTTCGA